AAGGCAGTTAAAGCCCTAATAACCTCATTACAGACAGAAGCATTAATAGGATCTGAACTGATTACCTCGGTGTGAGGTGGCGCTGGACGTCTAATTGATATCCAAGAAAAGAAACTTCTCCTGTTAGTGATATATTACCCTGCACATCATATATTCCTCCTTTTTATGCTAAACTAGTTACTGATCTGATTTAGTTCATATAAATACATAGATTTAATAACACTTGTCAACCCTGTAGCATTGATCACGCCCCAGTGAAATTCAGTTTCTTGTTCTATTTCATCAAAAAACTGCTTAAACAAGCTTTCAGCAACTTGTACAAAAAAAAGCATCGGCAGTCTTTGATAAAAAAAAATCAAAGATACCAGCCTGAGTTAGTAAACACTTAGTTAATTACAACTGCCAAAGTGAATTACTGAAAAAAAGACTCCTTCCACTGAGCTTAGGTCTATTACTTGCACTGCACACTGGCAACACTTTATGGTGTTGGTGGTTTTAAGAAAACCGAAAACACAATCTGCGATATTAATCAATTCTGTTTTAAATGGAAAGACCTAGGTTGTGATGGGGATAAGTCATTACCCTAATGAAGGTATCAGGGTAAAGTTTACTTAAGTTAAAGGTTTTGAAAGACATAACTTAAAGTCATCGGATAAAAATGTGTTCTCAGTGACCACTGAACAGTTGTTGACCAGTCAATTGTCTCATGAGAACATCACATCATCCTCTCTGCCTGTGGTGACTTTGACCGAGCCTGTAGACACATTACGCCCTGAACACACTGGCACCATCTCAAGTCTGTCATTGGTCTGCTTTGGCTTGGGTCTGTGGTCTGGAGCCAAGAATAATGCTTTTGACCTCTGAAGTGGTGTGAATCATGTCTGTACAAACAGTTTTAGCTCTGGTGTCCCTTTCAGTCTTTGTCATCGTTCAAAGGGGGAATAAATCCACCCTCAGTCATCCATCGTTGTGTGTTAGGAATCCTCTTCTTACTTTGGTGACTTAGATTTCCTAGAATATCCTTTGATAACTCTCCTTGGAGAAGGCACAAAAACAAATTAGCATTGTCGTAGGTTGAACGTTTTTTTTTTAATGTATTTGTCTGCCGTTGCAGTGCAACACATTTCTTGTTTGCTCACTAAGAAAGTGTTGTGAGGACATAGTGGCAGATTTTACTGTGTTTTCTTATTTTCCTAAATTTAAATGATACTGTCTTAGGCCCAGGCCCCACGGGAACGAAAACGGGTTGTATCCGCATATTTCTCATGCGTATAGCCCTTTAAGCTCAACGACGCCGTAATGGAACGGTAGAAACGGACCCTGCAAACGACAACGGGTCCAAAGGTGGATAGATCTGGGAACGGAGCGCTCTGGGGGGTCCAACGGGGCCGTGTGGTAGCCTATACGGTCATCCTTTTCTGATAATGACGACGCAATAGCCCCGCCTCTCCCCACCTCTGCTGCTCACCCCCGCAAAAGTACACTGCATACTGAATTCAGATTATTTATCTTTATCTCGATATGGACATAAACGCGAGTGAAGTCTAATCTGACAGGACGGAGACACGCAGCTCCTCCCGCTGTGATGCAGCGGGAGCAAAACACACACTTCAAGTCAGATCATCACCCTTAGCTATTTTAATTACCTCTCAAACTACCTGAACTAGTTATAAATATGTTTATTTTTACTGTCGGGTTTACTTACTGGATCAACTGCTGCATGAGACAGACACTGACGCTGTCAGAAGAGAGGAAAAAGAGACAGGCTCCGTGTATTTTATTATTATATATCATTATATAGAGTCGTTATTCATTTGTTTTAAAGCTCAATAAATAACAAAGAAGACCTTTGACCGGCACTTTTATAATTTTGTCCGGAAGATTTAAACTTTAACACACGTTGACCGGCGAAAAACTCTGCCCGGTTCCCTCGGCCCCCACCAAAGAGAATAAACAGAAGTGCAGCCATGACAACCATTCTTCTTCGCTGCTTTTGTGGAGGAAGTTGCTGCTTTTGTGGAGGAAGTTACAGCGCCACGTACAGGCTCGGCATATGTACTGCAGCTTTTCCAGCGGTTGGATCTAAACGGAGCCGTCTCGTGGAGCTTGACACAATCCGGTGTATATTGCGTGTGGACGGAAGCTTTTTGGCGATTGCGTTTGCGTTAATCCTATGCGTTTTGTCGTATGCGTTCCCGTGGGGCCGGGGCCTTAGTGATCATGACAGTGACAGCAGGTTTTCTAGTGACTTATCTCCATTTATTTTGCATGGAATTATATGTTTTTCTAGCAGGTTTATAGAAACCATCACCTGGGTACTCCAGGGGTCAGATATGGCATATCACCCATTCTGTTGTGCTTTATTACCGTTAATATGGAGAGAGCCAAGTGTCGAAGGAATACAAACTGTTGGCTGTTAAAATGTCTTCCTTAACTATGCATCTTCTTTACACAGACCAGGTGGACGAATACACGGGGCTTGAACATAAATCAGCTCTCACTATCTTAGATTTTCCACATCCTGCTTCCTGCTAGCCTAACACAACATGTTGAATGTCAAGCAAACACTGAAATACCTGACCCGAGTTCCTCAACATGTCTGTGAGCAGGGTTTTTTTTTTTTGAGTGCTTGCATTTTATTGGCTGTCCCTTCGGGAAGTTCTTGGGGACGCTGAGTGATGTTAGTTCGTCCTCGTCTGACCTGTAGTTCCTGAACCAGGCAGGTTAGCCAGTTCATAGACGGGATGGAGCAGTGAACAGAGTACCAGCCAATATCGAATGCATCAAGCACCCATTCTGAAACCCACATTTCTAGCTATGTAATTATATCCTCACTGTTCCTTAGTTTGACCTTGTGTGGTCTTTCTTTGTCCAGACAGATGAATTAAATATGTTTTTTCCACCGTGTCTGTTCGATGATTTGTTCAGCTTGGTGAGTCATAACTTAAGAGCCGGTTCATTGCTGTGATCCAGCTGTTGGAGCCAGGCTGTGCCGTTAGTAGAGAAGACAAAGATTAAATATTAAAGGTATGATAAACTGACTGAGATCATATAAACCCTCACAATGTTTTTAGAGACTTTTACTTGAACTTTCTTGATTTATTTTCCTTTATAAACACATAAAGATGAAAAATAGTCTCTTCGCTCACTCTTGCACATTTACAGAAATGTTGTTTAATGTGCACTCTCCCTGTTAAATAAATAAAATAAGACTTTTTAACTTTTGTAAATGGCTACCCTACATCTATTGTACATTAAACAATGTATGTTAGGTCTGAAACATACAAAGCTTTTTCTAGCTTCTTTCAAGCTGTTGAGGAGGACCAAACTAATAATTTTCGTTTTTGGCTCGTTGTGTTGGTCTCAAGGATTATTAAAAAAACAACTGTCCTGTTGAAGGCTACACAAATTATTAACTGTGAATACAAAAAATCTGTTGCTGTGTTGTTTAAACGCTATACAGAAGTCATCATTTTCTTAAATAGCTTCCAAGTTGTTTCCACATTATGACTGAAGTTGGCAAAAACACTAACTGACAAGTGAATGTGAATGCATCATTGGGCCTTGGCGGAGGTCTGCGCTATCAGAGTGCCATTCTACTTTCTTCTGTGTTGTTTAAACACTACCAGCAAATCATGGACTACCCTGAAACAAAATGGCAAGATGTTTTTGAAATTCAGGGAAATTCAGCGTTTAACAATTGCCCTTAAATGTAGGCTATTAGCTTGGCATTAGCCTTCTCCCAGCATGCTTGTCTGTTAGTAGTGGCATTGGTGATGGTTAGGGTCAGGGAGGTGTGTTTCCCATTTCTCAGACGTAGGGCTCGGGCAGCTCTAAGTGATTCATTGAGGAATTTGTTTACTTGTGGCGTAGCTACAAATAACTGCAGGGTTTATGCAGGCCAAAAAAACGACTTCCCCTCCAGGCAGCCATACAACATAAACAGAGCTGCGAGGGGAAATACTGGACTGGCTTATTAAAGCACAACCACTACACATGTTCCACACGGCCACATGGATCCCATTACTCACTGAGGAGCTTTTTTTCCATCAGGCCTGCTGGCCCCAGCGACTTCTTCCCAACTCTGGCAATCTGTTTACTGACTCGAATAGATCCTGTAGTCATGTTATTAATCCTTCTCGGACTGACGCTGTTTGAAACTATTTAACCCTTGTGTTGTGTTCAAAAGCTGTTACCGTTCATGGTGTTCGCAGTCCAAAACACAAAATAAAAATGACTATCATCCAATATTGTTTTAACTACATCATAACTAACTTATTATGCATTCATAACCGTACAATCCTGTTGTCATTTAATGTTATGGCCCAAAACACATTACACCACATGTTGCACACGTGCATATGTGTGTTCAGGTTAAATTGTTAGTGTACATTTGAGAAAGGTCGAGTTCCCGTGGGGGGAGGGGGGCAGAGGGAGGGGACACCAGGTGCATGTTGCGAAAAATGATTGTTACAGTTGATGAAGGGGGTGGGGGTGTGGTTTTCTGACGTCAAAGCTGAATCTTGATTGGGCCAAATTTGACCTTGAGTCACCCAAAACAATTCTGCTGGGTCTCCCCAGACCCCAACACCAAATGATACACTTTTCTTTTTAGAGACCTTCAGACTTGGCAAAAAATTGTCAAAATCTGTTTTGTAGTGTTTATATAGCTGTTGTGGAGGATATCATGAAGCCTTGTTCCGATAAAAAAAACTAGAGCGTAGTTATTATATCATTTTAACTTGAAGCGGGTCACGGGAGACCCGAACACAATATAAGGGTTAAGAGGAAAAGCTTGCTGTGTGCTGTCCAGGCTGAAAGTGTTTCAAGACAATGTTTGGCACGAGGCCAGAGACTCTGTGAGCTTGACCTACAAAAAAATGCTCCACACCTAAAGTCGACCCAGAACATGACCTTAAACATCTGTTGCTTAGATTTGTAATATGTGGCATCCTCCCATGTTTTTTTATTTACCATATCCTTCTCTCTTTCCCCTTCAGGCATTTGGAAACGCAAAGACAGCCCATAATAACAACTCGAGTCGCTTTGGCAAGTTCATTCAGGTGAACTACCAGGAGAGCGGCACTGTGAGAGGGTAAGAACCCAGAGACATTTATTTTCAAAAAACAAATAGTTTTTAAGTTGTTTTGATTCCTTTTTATTGTATTGTCCTTTTTCAGAGCATATGTGGAGAAATACCTGCTGGAGAAGTCGAGGCTGGTCTATCAGGAGCACAATGAGCGGTGAGCACTCGGATAAGCAGAACATAATCATGATTTCAGAAAACCAAATTGTTTTATTAAGCACAAAGTGACTGCTTTTAGTTTTTGAGCAATGAAAAAAAGTGCTGTTGTGAGATGCAGTTTCTCAACAAAGATGTTGAGGAAAAATAGATACTTAAATAAATACTAAAAGTCAAATGTTTGCCTCCAGATTTCTCAAAAACGTATTCCATAATCTTATCAAAGTTAACACTGCTGCTCTTGAATACACATTCATCTAACACAATTTATATAGCTCTCGTGTGAAATTTGTTTCACAGTATATATTTCAGCATGTTATTACAGTAGTAGGATCTTGTATTTACCTAAAAGTTATAATAGCACACTGTAAAAAATATTTAAGTCTTACTTGTTTACGACGATTAGCATCCAAATATACTCAGAGTACTCGTCATGCAGAATGGCCCTTCTCAGAATACCATGTACATTATTGATGCCTTCATGTGTTCATCAATCTAATGTTGCAGCTGGTAAATCTGAGCCTAATTTAAACTACTGTATATGTAATGTATAAGGTCCCGATCATGGGCAATACGTTCACAAACTAGTTATTCTATTTTGTGTGACATTTGAACTAAAATGTATTGACTTACATATGAGATACATGAAGTTTGAATATTGGCAACTCAAACCAAAGTACATCTGAGTGAATTTCCCTCAGTAAGCCTGTTGTTTGAGTTTGCCAAAGTGTGATTCATGAAGTGTATTGAGCTCTAAGTGGAGCTGACACTGATGTTTTGGTCTGGCTGGACGGTGTGACGACGGTTAACCTCACCACGGGGGGCTCACACTGGGCCCCCCACATATACATACACATTTACATGCACAAACTAGTTTTGACTTTGCTTTAGCTGTTAGCTTTGTGGCTTTTATAGAATTAGTTAGAAATTGGTTAATCAATGAACATTTTAGAAAGCCCCACCAACAGGTCGAACTAACTAATGAGAGGATACCTTTCAAATGTATACTTTCCAATTAGAAATAATAGAAACCTTGCATGCTAACGATACCCTACTGACATGCTAGAATATTGTCTTTGGTCACTAAATATGCTTAATGTAAGAATTTCACCATAACATCAGCCATAACATTATGACCACCGGCCTAATATTGTGTAGGTCCCCCTTTTGCGGCAATAACAGCCCTGACCCATCGAGGCAAGGACTCCACTAGACCTCTGAAGGTGTGATGTGGTATATGGCACCAAGACATTAGCAGCAGATCCTTTAGGTCCTGTAAGTTGCGAGTTGGGTCCACCATTGGATCAGACTTGTTTATCCAGCACCTCCCACAGATGCTCGATTGGATTAAGATCTGGGGAACACCTTGAACTTGTTGTCGTGTTCCTCAAACCATTCTTGAACCGCATTTTTCCTGCTTCCAACATATCAACCTTGAAGTCAAAGTGTTCACTTGCTGCCTAACATATCCCCCCCACTGACAGGTGCCATTCTAGATATTCAATGTTTTTTCACTTCCCCTGTGAGTGGTCATAATGTCATGGCTGATCGGTGTATAAAGCTTATGGTTTGTGTGATAACATGCTCAACATAAACTGCTAAACCTTACCAGACTGCCAAGCTAAATGGACACATTAACTTATTGCATTTAAGACCAAATGTGTTATGGTGTGTGAGCTGTGCTGTGTGATTCTTTTTTGTACGTTTTGTTTGTTTATTTGACTGTACAGCACTTTGGTCTGGAGGTTTTAAAGTGCTTTATAAATAAAGCTGTATTGTAAGACACTTTTGGGTAGTGGTTTTGCTGATAGTTATTCAAGTTACAACATTATAATCAATAGGGAGAATCCTAGAAAGCTGTTTCTCCATTAGCTGTTGTTTTTCTGTGTTATAGTGATGTAACCTTTAATCTTGTTGGCTAACAGTGAAATAAAATTGTTATTTTTTTATTTTTAGAAACTACCATGTCTTTTACTACCTGCTGGCAGGAGCAAGTGACGAAGAGAGGAAATCCTTTCACCTCATGAAGCCTGAAGAATACCATTACCTCAGTCAGGTGAGACCTTCTCAATAAGACTATAATATTAAACTCTTTAACAAGTAATGTCGCCCGGGTTTGTCTTTCACTGGTTGTCACTTTCTGTTTTGATTTTTGTGGTGTGTTATGCATGTTCCAAAGTGTTAATTAATGTGTAGAGTTATGTGTGTATGTATTGTTGCCATCTACCACTTGTTAGACCCAAGAAAACCCATGGAAAGTTATTTGTCCCTGGAAAGAGGGAGACATCGGCAAACAAAGGAATCGTATTCTCTGGTGGTGGCTTTCAACATAATATACATACAATCAATAGTTTGACAGACACGTTTTATTTTAAACATCTATGTGTACAGTATATGTTCAGAACTTTGTGATTTGTGGATGTCACTACATGCTACACTACATGTTGGTTTCCATTCACCTTTGACTAATGACCTCACACGTCCTCATTTGTTACCATCACTAACAACCACAAAGACAAAAATAATGTTTGTCTCTGTTGCTTGTGTTGCCGAAACGAAAAAACAGGTTTCACATAACCACGAAGCAAAGCCACTATAAAAACACTCGCACACATTACATGTATGGAATGTGGATGTTGTGTAAAACTTGTTGCGTCTCTTCCTCGGAGCTTTGACAGTCACGCCATGACAACCAGGGACCCGCCTCCTCCTCTTAAATCCTTTCCGCCTACGCAGAAGCGGGCAGGGAATTCCTTCCATTCCTTCGGGCCACTGACGCGCACACACAAACATATAAACACACATGCACACATACAGTAAATGCATGCGCTAACCTTGCACTCTGTTGTTATTCTGTCCTTCAGTTGTATCTCTTCTTCTCTGTATTCTGTCAAGTTTACATAAAGAAAATCCCATTGCAATTATTAACTAGATTCTACTGCCCGCCCTGTCGGCACAATAAAGAACAATAACGTTGACTTGTTTACAAGCTACAAACACGTGTAGCAATCATGCCAGTTTTTTTCCCTCAGTTTATAATTTGTCTTACTTTGGTCTGTTATTATAACTCATAGTGCATTTTGCTTTGAGAGCCTCACCTGTGATTTTGCATCTCTTAACCAGCCATTAACCACACATGTACATTTGACCAGCCAAGACAATAGAGTGCCGCAGTGACGCGTCGTAAAACCCGGAAGTAAGCTTCTTCCGGTTCCCTCGACAAAAAAGCAATTTCTCCATAGGATTTTGGAAAATAGCTGGAAATAAGGTCTGTGGTTGACACACATTTAAGAGACGGATCACGTTTTGTTCAGTCGGATAATCTCCACATGTCTACCCTACTTTTATAATTTTCTAATCATAAATCTAATCGATAGATTTTAAGATTCACTGTGGCACTCTATTGGAACTAATTAATTTACTCGCATTCAATTAAGTTTAAATAAACTTTTTGAAGCCTCAAATAGGACAACAATTAGATTAGCAATAAGCGCAGAATTAATTAAACATTTTGGTCCAAAGTTATGTTAGTATTGTGTGGTAATGCAGTTATAAATTGAGACAAAAAGATGGTGTGTTTAAGGACACCCTGACAGAGTCTTGCTGGCTGCTTAAATGCTTTGCTTTGACCAGAAAAGATGCTGAGAAAATTAAGAAAGGCATAGACGAGCAGACATACTCTATGAAAGTTGTGATTTATTCCAAATGTTGGTTTCATCAGCAGATTCATAAATCTTAGATGGTATCTTTCCCGCCTTTTTGAACAGACCTGAAATAAACATGTAAAACAGTCCATCCCTACAAACTGGAACACCATGCAATCCAATAGTTACCTTTACATAAAACTGAGTTTGTGCGCTGTGGTAGATTTCATATTTCAAGCATGTTTAACCTTTTAGTTAATAATAAAAACTCATGATATGGGTTAAAAAAATAAATTCTGAATCCTTTATGTTCATGAGTCTTTCAAATCTGCCGCTTTTGATCTACCATCTCCTCCTGCTTTATCGACTTAATGTTTTTCATCATGACATGTGCTTGTTATAAAGTGATTGCTTTCTCTTTCATTAGTGTCTAAATGCTTTTATATGTTATGTCTGACTGCTGGCCTGTATTTACCGAATAGAGCTGTAACGTCCAGCTAATGCTTGTGTCTTAACAGCACGTCCCTCCATTGCTATTAGTTGCATATACGTTTGTGTTTAGTGAACAGTTTGTGTCTTCATTTGAATGCTGCTGTCTAACCGTAACCCTGCTCCCCATGTGAACTCTGCCCTAACATTTCCAGATGCCAAAGTCAACCCACCAACTGCACTGGGACAGTTACTGTGATAGTGAACCGGTCAGTATCTGTGTGTGTCTGTGTGTGTCGGAGAAACCTCAACAAGTAGATATTCTGATCACCTGAGCACCTTTTTTAGATCAAGCTACATTTTCCATGCACAGTTGCACAATCCTCTCCTCCCCTTCTGCTCATTCTTTTGACATTTCCTGGTTTGGCGTGGATAGTGTTTATTTCAGCTTTGTTTGTTTCTTGATGTGTTTTGTTGTTTGACTTTTTTGATCATTGACACTGCAGTGTTTTCTATAAGCAATAGGGAAATCCTCCATGCTGATGATGAGGTCCTCACTTAGTAACAGAAACAATGCTGATAATGAAAATAGAGTATTTCATGCTTAAAGTAATTGAAATCTACCAAGAATATAAAAGACTTTACTCGGTAGTCGAACAAATATTTGAGTATCACTCCTAAAATCCACTGAGTAAACATAATGTGTAGCAGATACAAGCCATGTGACTGTGTGAGAGTGTACCCTGACCCTGAAGTGTCCCATTGTTCACTGGGTAGTTAATGGCTGTGCAGCATTATATGTTGCCACAAAGTATTTGCTTAGACACACCCTCACCTCTCACTCACTGGATCTGATTCAAATCAAATGTAGCCGTAGATTGACTTTAATTTATTGATGTCAATGATCGAAAAAGTATTTTGTGATTGGTGTTGGAATTTATTTGTTTTGCCTTTCTGGTGGGCTTTTTTTTTCTCCGGCGTATTCATTAATTAATGTAATGGTTCTCTCTTAATCTAATTTTAGCCTGTAAGTGAATTCAATTTAAGTGTTACTGTGAGATGCATTCTGTAGTTAATTTAAACTCCGACATCATTAGTGAATGATAATAATACACAAAATATGCAGTAACCATACAAGGATTTGTTTTCAATACAGCAAGAACAATACCTGTATAATTACAGGTGGACAAAGTATATGTAATTCCAAATTGATATATAATGATTATGATCTTTGTTTAAATATATACATGCTCTTTATTACATTGACAGATGTAGGATAGATTGACAGATTGTTTTCACCTGAGAGAAGAATAAGTCAGAGCAACTGTTCTATAGTAAATGTAGATTTCCCTGCCTCGTATAAAATGTGCGTCAGAGTCACTATTAGGTCAGTGTGAGATTCTGCCATGAGAGCAGAGAGCGAGGGATGCTGAAGGGAGGCACGCTGGTGTAAGTGTAAGTCTCATGTTTGGAGTGTTTGTCTTCCTGAGGCCTCGGTATGTGATAATTATGGCAGCCATAGTGGAATGGGCCCATAAAGCAAAGAGCAGGGCTCACATTACGCAGGGTGTATGTGTAGTGAACTGTGTACTTATGTAGTTACATCAAAGCATGTGGTTCAAGTCTGGGAAAAGCTCTTCCTCTTTTCGTAAACAAATAATCCAGGTCCAGATTTATCTACAAGTATACCCCTTCACGTACTGTGCAGCATTTAGTTGCTAATTCTTTTTTGATTAATGCAATATTGCAATGCAGTTGTTTTACTTGTAATGATTGTATTCATGTCAATGAAATCTGCACTTATTCTTATTCTCGATTAAGACCATTTTCTTGATTGATTGTTTCATCTACAATATACCAGACAATAGTGAAAAATGTCCATTACAGATTCTCAAAGTCTAATGCGGTATCTACATTTCTTGTTTTGTTAGTCCAAAACTCAAAAACATTCAGTTTAATATGAAATAACAGAAAGAAAAACAGAAAATGTCCCCATTTCAAATGCTAAACTGCATTTTCTGCCATTTTTACGCTTTATCGTAAATCAAAAACAGTTAGCAATTATCCACAGTCCGCTAATGGTTTCATCTGTGGCTAATCAGGCTGTTTCTCCAACTGGTTAACTTTATCATTTTTATAGAGTGACAGTCTAGGATTGGGGTTATTCTCCTGCTCTTACTTGTATACTTAAAGGGGGGAAGCCCTATACAGTACTGTATGTTACAGAAATGAGCAGGTGCAAGGTTTGCACGGCCTCTCTGCAGACAGCACTCCTGTTTCTCCCCTATCATACTTTAACTTGTTGTCCATCACTCAAACACAGTACAACATATCAACTGCTGCTCCGATCAGCTCCATGAGCAGAGCCTGCACAAGCTGCTGTTCACTCCACGCTCTGCACATCAGACTGATGTTTGACCCCCGCTCTTCTTAATGATAGCTCATTCTAGATTGAGTCTTTCATTCTGTCTGCTTCATGCCACTGTGCTGTTTATTTGTTTCAGCTGCAAAGTAAACTATAAGAAACAATTTTAAGCGTCATTGCTGGACTCATCTAAATCATTTGGGCACTATATGTCAGCAGTCTTTAGTACGTGTTTCATAGTAACTGTTCAGCAGCTCCTTTGGCCGCTGTCATAACAGCTGCTGTAAACCTAATGACATCAGGGTGCTGTTTGTTTTTTAAATGCAGGACTGCTTCAACGTTGAAGGAGAAGACCTGAAGCATGACTTTGAGAGGCTTCAGCAGGCCATGGAGATGGTGGGCTTTCTCCCTTCCACGCGCAAACAGTGAGTGACACACGACCAAAATGAGTGTGTGAAAAGATAAACTGTACTATGAAAGTCCCCACAATGAGAAATGGTTGTGTGTAGAGGAACGTGTTGTTACAGTTCAAACGTAAAAGGATTCCAGCTGCTGACAACCCCACAGTATTTTTCCATTGTGGCATTGCTAAAATATTACCGGAACTTTTGTTTAGGATCTTCTGCCTGCTGTCCGCCATCCTTCACCTGGGAAACATCCGCTACAAGAGGAAAACCTACAGGGAGGACTCGATAGACATCTGTAACCCAGAGGCGCTGCCTGTCGTCTCGGAACTACTGGAGGTACTGCCAAACTGTTATTCCTGCTTATTGTCTAAATGTGTGTTTGCATAAAAGATGGATGGTTCAAAGTCCAACATGATAAGCTCGCTCTGACTGGAGACTGTAGATTTCCATTGCAGCCTGAAGTAGTTCATAAATACATATAGGGGCCTAATGTTTACAGTTTAGTAAAGTTTAATGCAAGTAGTCTTTTAACATAAGTAGTCTTATGAAGAGAACATTTAGTTGCTACTGTAGATGCTGCTAACCTCCACACAAATACTGAAGCACTGTCAGAGACGAAAGGCAACTTTAAAGGAGTGTCAGACTTTCTCTTAAGTTATCCAGGATGCTGTAATCACAGCGCAAACTGTTGCTTTTTTTTAAACAATGATGATGTTTTATCATCAGTTGTGATTACATTTTACTTTCTCTCGCTTTTCCAATCAGGTGAAAGAAGAGATGCTGTTTGAAGCTCTGACGACACGGAAGACGGTCACTGTCGGAGAGAAGCTGATTGTTCCCTACAAACTTTCAGAGGTGAGACTCTTCTCCTAATAGCAGTGCTAACCTTAAATATCAAACTAGTGTGACGTATTAAACATGGCGACTTTAGTAATGTGGACACAGAAATGCACCAAAACATTCCCTCCCCTTCGTCTCGGTGCTCACAGGCCAATGGATTTATAAATCCTGATATTCCCTCAGTGATTGGTTGTGCAGTGCTACTACAATTTTCCAGTTCCCCCGAGTGATGATTAATGTCTATTACTTTCATGCAACATCACTTTCCTACGGTGTAAATAACAGACAACTTTTTAAAGTGATCTGAATACACAAAAGTATTTATACTTATATAAAAATTCTATTCTATTCTATAATTCTATTTTCCCTGTAATGTCCACTATTGTCCCAGAATGCAATGCATATGAGGAAATTACGGAGCTGCTCACACCTGGAAAAAACAAACAAACGAGATTACTGTTTAGTGCATACTGTTTACTGTAGTAGTGAATTGGAGTTAAATATAAGACCATATGAGTTTTTGTATGACTTTTGATCATTTTTTAAAAGTATATAAAGTAATTATCAGTATTGAAACTGAAGGCAGTTTGCCAAGTCTATGACGTCGCTGCAGCCTTGGGTCTTCAGTCTGACCCGGCTGTGTTTACAGGGCAGCGTGCACCAGGGCCGGATCTCCGCCTGCACTCTTCTCCCTCACTGCAGCTTTACAGTCTGTGGCTACACACAGTCACACACACACATGCACCAAGTCCTTCAGTGTGTTTACAGAGACAGGAATGCATTTCAAGTCCCTCTACAGTTTTCATTGAAAACAAACACACGTCACGGTCTGCAGATGAGAGCCATCTGAAAGTGAAGAGGGAACATGGATACAGTGCCAGTTTGAATTAAGGGTTTTTACTCAGATACAGTAATGCACAAGTATTTAGTCAACTTTTAAACTTGTCATGGTTGCTATATACGTCAAATACCAATCATATCAAATCTTAATCATTTTCATGTTCACATGCAGTGAATTTCTTTAAATCATCTCATTATAATCCAGTACAAATAGCTCACAATTTTCACCAAGATCATCTATCCCAGCAGTTTTTCTTACCACAAACTCTCCTAGAAGATGGTGGTGTGTTACATATACAACCTCATAATGGCCTGTTGGATATTTCAGAACCTTTTTATATGAAAAAACAGAGATTGTTTTGGTAGCTCACTGGGTGGTCTCTATGTAAATATTGCTCTAACAGTCACAACAATCTCATTGCCTGTCTCAACTAAAATCATACACTTGAAAACCTCAAATAAATCTGTGCGTTTCTGTAATGACTTTTCTCCATTTGCTCAGAGTTATGAGACTGTTTCCCTCTGTGTTTTAAGTCCAGCTTCCTCTAAATAATGAAAAGCTTATGGGTCATTAGACCACAGTATGTAGCCGTGTTCCAAATATTATCTGTCCTGACTCATGGTTTGGTCTGAGTTTCTAAAAAATATCCTTGTTAATTATTTAGAAACAATGGAATTGTAACTTTGAGTAGCCATTTCATGGTTTGTTTTGTTTCTGGAAACCATTGCTCATCTTTGCTGCTGAAAGGTCAAATCTTTCCAGCGGATATGGGGATTAGAAATATTTTTTCAATAATCTCACAAGGATTTTGTCAAATAATCTCCTTGCTTTCAAAAAACACAGAGCATTTATCTAGCACTCTATTCTTTTTCATATCTTATGTTTATCATAAAGAATATCATGCTGATTTTCCCAGAATTTCCTCATTATATGAAAGTGTTATGTTTAGCCCATTACAGCTAATATTTCCATCAGGCCTGACTCATATTGCCTGACGCAGCCTTGTGCCACATTAGACTGTTTTGGCAGATTTCATAAGAAAAGCAGATGTGGTAATGACAATAATAAAGACCCAGGGACATCCTGCTGTGATAAGTGCAGTCTGCCAGCATGTCTGTGCCAAAAATGTAGTGATGTGTTTGGTTGGTAGTGCTGTCCTGTTTTTCATTTCAATCTGAATTGTAGCTTTTTTAGGAACCATTATACATTTTCCAGTAAGAGTTCTGAGTCCAGTGACTGCTGCCAGTGCAGTGAGGATGTGATTTACACTCAAGCTATAAATGTACAGTTATAAAGGAGAAATATGACTGTCTGCACATCTTGGCTCTTCAGCAAACTTTTTTTAAACGGGGCCATTGTTGTCTGAGCTTCAAATATAGAACATAACATAAATCTATTTTATTTTCAATTTATCAATGCCTCCATTCACTGTGTTTTTTCTTTATGCTGGACCTGTAGAAAAGGGCATTGTAACAAGACCTAGCCCTGATGTATAATACAGATGTGTGGAGCGTTGTGAAACAGGAACGATATCTGGAGTTATCTTTTTAATGTTAGATTCTTCAAGCTTTGCTCAACTATTCCTCATAAACCTAAAGTTGAAGAATTGTTGGACATGTTGGGAATAACGCTTATTTGCTTTTTGTTGCTGATGGTTAGATGAGGAGTTGACACACCTTTCATGTCCGACAGTAATTATAAAGCCAGTAGCCTGTTAGCCTAGCTTAGCATAAATACCAGGAAGCACGGGAGAATGAGCTAGCCCGGCTTTCTGCACAAGTAACACAACCCACCAACCAGCTCCTCTAAAGCTTACTTGTTATTACAATGGTGTATCTCATTTGTTCAATCAATACTCAAAGATAAAAAGAAAACATTTGTATTCCTCATTCACCGTTTTCAGTTTTGAATAAGTTGTTGTATGTGTCTACCTGCAGGCTGGTACGGTGCGAGACTCCATGGCGAAGTCCCTGTACAGTGCTCTGTTTGACTGGATCGTCTTCAGGATCAACCACGCTCTGCTCAACATTAAAGACCTGGAGGAGACCACCAAGGTTGGGCAACACAAACACATCGACTTATGAAATCACCCATGAGTTAAACAAATACATTTTAGTATTGCATATTAAACTCTTGTTGAAAACACAACCACCTCTACACTAACTTATACCAACGACACAGTGTCTAAGCTTTTAAAAATCCTAATACTGATAATATTATAGTTTGAGGAAATATTTTGTTCATGTTTTCTTTGTTTTTCCTCCTCAGATCTTGTCAATTGGAGTGCTCGATATCTTTGGATTTGAGGATTATGAAAACAACAGCTTCGAACAGTTCTGCATCAACTTTGCTAACGAACGCCTCCAGCACTACTTCAACCAGCACATCTTCAAGCTCGAACAGGTAAGACATTTCCTACATATTCTTCTTTCTCAAGGTCCATCATTCCTAGTTAGTGGCTTCCTGTTCAAGGCTTTGACTGGGAGCTGAACTGCTGTATTACTCCAACTGTTATTGTAACATATTGCAGATTTCTTTTTTTGGCTGTGACTGTGTCCAAGGAAATCCTTCATGCTTCATGCCACCCAGTTTACATACATTACAATGACACTTCCACAATGGAGGAAGTCTTCATCACATTATGCAACAGGGTTGCTGACACCCATATGACTCAACTCCCTGTGACCACCCGACTATGATGTATGTTCCCTTAAGTGAGCTGATTGACTTCAAAGGGCTCCTTTAAGTCCTGATCTGTAAGATTTTCCTTTTGGTTAAACATTATGTTTACTTTGCCATTGACTGAACCAGCAGCCCTGCCCTGACTTGTTTGACAAGCGTCCATGCTGTTCATGAAACACACTGTGACTGAAGGACTGTGTCCCCAAGGTGACGGGTCTTTGTACAAAGGCAGTTGTTCACAAACCCTGTCTAATCCCAATGCCCTAAATATGTCAAGATTTATACGGTAGATATGTCATGACAAGAGTGTTGAACAACTTCTTTGTTTTGGGGGTTAGGTTAAAAGAAAACCTAACACCTAATGATCATTTTTACATCAAGTCCCTTGTTCAAAACGCAATTTATTCTTCCATACCGCCATGATGAACTAAGAATAAGAAAATTGAGAAAAGTCAGGTAAAAAAAAGTCAAGTTTTTGTGAGGATTTCGAGAAAACACAGTGTGTGTAACTGTTAAACAAATGTTCATTTTATGGGTTGAAGCATTACTTTCAGGGAAATGCTGAATTATTGCTTTGTTCTTAATAAAATGTAAAGGTTTATGAAGCTTCAAATCGCAAACCTGTTGTGAAGCATCCATGTTTAAATGCAACCTCGGCAGAGAAGAAATGTAAACATGCACAGGCTGTGTGTAAAGTTTTAAAAAATCTATAAACATGCGATGTGCAGAATTTTAAGAATACAATCAATAAGTACTTTGTTTGCCCCCAAACTATTTATTTTAAAACAATTCCACTCATCCCTGTACGATGCTTCTTCCTTATGAAACATGTTTGAGATCAGACTGAATATTAGTTGGCCATAACTAGTAGTTCATAGATTTCAATCTTGTACCAGCTTTTCACTTTTCTCTCTTTGAGGCTTCAGCTGCCAGTGTTTGTCGATATTTATTAGAATCCCACATTACTTCCTGTGCTACTGGTTGCAGCATTAACAGGTCAGAGTAGATCCAGCCTTGAGCAAAACTAAATTGCCCATGGTGTTGTTTCCTTTAAATGCAGCCTGATTTTCTCACTGTGGCAAATAATCTTTTTTATTGTGTTAATGTTGAAGAATAAAAATGTATATTGAGTGTGAGTGGGATTGCGTAACGAACAGTGAACCCTATAGAGACAATTGATAGGGTGATAAGGCAATTTAAATGTTAACAAAACAAACTTTAACCTTGAAAAAAACATAGTTGATTTGGTCTGCTTGTACGTACACTAGAGTATTGTTTATCATAGGCTCCCATTCAGAATGTGTGCACTTGAGCTGATGTATTGTTACTATGTGTTTTGTCAGAGACTTAAAACCCAGCAGTAAATAACCATTCAAACAGATAATGGCAGAGTTGACCTGATTTACAATATATTGACCCCCACTGCACCCAGCTACTCTGCTGGTGAACAGTACATGTGTTTTCATATGGATTTCTAATGTTTTCCATGAATCACACTGCAGCCACAGTACTGTTTTCTATCAGACATCATCGATATTATCAGGAAAAGAGAATGATAATGGAGTTTTGACATTATAACATTGATTTAAACTGCATCACAGTCTTGATCAGAGTATACTGGAGAGCTTATGACTTCATAATGGTTTACTGTAGGTACAGTAAAGAATTAGTTGTATGTGGAAATATCGATGTGCACCACTGAAGTGGTCTGAAAGCCTCCCAAAATGATTCAACCAAGTGGACCAAGTGCTGGCATGCTTCATATTTCCGCTGAAGCAAGTTGCACACCCTCATCTACGGTTACATACATGCGGTACATTTCCATTCATCTGTCGAACAGTGAGTCACTGCTGGGAGCACATAGGGGCTAAACAGTTTGCTTAAGGGCACATTGATGGTCATTGTAATGGGGAATAGCAATTATTTTCTTCTTTTGCTCTATTTTTCAACCTTTTCAAAGACCTCTTTGCCAGTAATCGCATAGTTGGAAGACATGAAATGGAAAAGGAGAATGTTAGTATAATAATACAATAACTATAATAATATATTATAATCATGACGTGAGTTAACGGTTTTGCATTGCTCTTTACTTTTGGTGTTGGCCATTTTAACAGTCAATAGCTGTTATCCAACCTGTTAACCTGTTACTACATGTATGATGGTGAGAAGGAAGATTTCCATTATATAAAAGTCCCAACCTTTTTTTTTTTTTTTTTTAAAGCATCTGATGAAAGTTGTGATGACTGACAGAGACATATAAAACAGCATTAGGAGGGAATAAGCTATAATTTAAATTGTGATTGTTTCAACCAAAACACTATTCGAACAAACTGTAAACAATAATATGAACACAATCTGAGATAGAGTTGTGTAGAAGCTGAATCCGCACATTCAGGAGACAAGTGTATTGTTGGTTGAGTCAGTATAAGAGTGAATCACAGTAGTTGTTGGAAGATGATTTAAAGGCATGTCCAGGGGGCGGATACAGTATCCTGTACAACGCAATTTAATACAACACCCCCACAAACCGCAGCTTAGCGATTACCAAAGCCTCGAGTCAGCAGCCATCTGACACACAAATGGGATGTTATAAGCTTCACAAACGTTTATTCCAGAGCTTTTGTATTAAATTATATTGCACAGGTGTTCCTTTTATAGTTTCTAGCCAGTGTGTGTTATTAAAACACACACAAGTAAAAACCTGTCATTAGTCAAATATCATGATCTGAGATGTTGATATTGTGAAAAGATGAAAAGATGTGTGGTACAGCTTTGACTTACTTATTATACTGAAGGAAAACTGGTTGGCAGCCAGACATTAAACTACTAATTGAGTGAGTGAACAGATAAATAAAAGAATAAGCAATATTAGTTAAAAGTGTCATTAACTGACGCCTTTTTTTTAAAACCTTGTTTTTATGTCATTCTTAATTTCTCTATAAAAACAAAAAATGCATGAAAGAGGATATTTTACATTGCAGAAAAAGAAACTACTATATCAGTCTTCTCTATAAAAGTAAAAGAATAAAGGACTTTTCAATGTTTCCAGGAGAGTTAAAAGTATTACCAGTAAAACAAACTTTAAGAAAGTATATACTGTACTCATTATGCAGAATGGCTATTTGCACATTGTTGTAATATTTTAGAATATAGTTGTATTGTACATATGTAGGAACATGTGTAGTTTACATGCATAGTACAACTCAAGTATAGTGCTGGATTAAATGTAATTTTCAAGAATCATCAAAACATTTAAGATGACGTAACTTTGGAAAGAGGAGATGACTGCATTCCTTTTTGCAATCATCCCATAAATGGCCGCTTTAAATGTTTATACAGAATTGGGGGTCAAATTGTTATTTTTTGTCCACTAAATAAACCGTTTAAACGTAACTGTTTTGTTTCTCAAAACCGCTTTAATTCCTGATTTTGTAATGTCTCCAAAAGGACAGCCGGCTGCACTTTTCAGTGAGCGAGTAACTGCTACCATTGAGGGATGTATTTAAAAACAGTTAAATATAACTTTTGTTGATAAGGATGAGTTGGATAGTTTGAGTGGCGATAGCTCAGCACAAACTACAAATCAGTGCAAAAGAAGAAGTATGTGTTACAGGATGATTATCTTGGACGGTTGTAATCTCAGTGAAATATGGACATTTCTCTACAAGGTCTACCAGCATTGGAAGTCAATCAGACATTTGCAACATTCAAGTCCAGAACTAAAAACCTTGCCCGTATATCACACAAATGTATTTGTTTCCAAATAATGAGGTTTGAGGATCATCTTCCCTTTGTTCTTCGCTCTCCTCTTTATGGTCTACAGTTGTGGAGTAAGCAACAGTAATTAACATCTTCTGACTGTAGAGTCACAAGAGAAGAGAAAAGGAGATTCCAGTGTTTTTTATTAAACTTCCCCTGGATTAAGGTCTTTATGGTTACATCTCTTTCCCAGGAAGACAGGAAAATAATAATATATGGGGAGGAATTAATGATAAATGCTCCGAATGCTTCTCTCGTTTTTAAACCACCAAGAGCCCAGGAAAAGATCTGAAGAGTGTTTTATAGCACAGGAAGACAACATGAAAGAGGGCAAACCAACAACATTATTGCTTTGTTTAAAAGATTTAAAACAGCTTGTCCTGCATACTGTAGGATCACTTGTCTGCTTTTGATGTCAAGTTAATAATTACATTTCTAGTGAGCATTTTATTAGTCTTTGATGCCACAAGCATCAATAATTCTAACCTACTTCTTTAATATTAGATATGAATACATATAGCATATATAATTGTTTTTGTGCAGTAAGTGTTGCTGAAAACTTTTCAAATTCAACCAAAGATAAAGTCCTTACATCCTGTTACATGGCTTGAAAGCAAAGTATTATTATTACAGTATAACTGAAATTGAGCATCTCTCTGTGTATTGTGTTTCTGCAGGAGGAATACAGGGCAGAGGGCATCAGCTGGCACAACATCGACTACATCGACAACACAGGCTGCATCAACCTGATCAGCAAGAAGCCCACAGCGCTGTTCCACCTCCTGGACGAAGAGTGCAAGTGAGTCTTCATGCTGTCTGCTTTCCTGTTGGACCGGTTTGTTTCTTTGGAAGCTCTTTTTATGTTCCTGTGAGTCAAACCATCAAACGTTTCTGGCAGCAAACTTGGCGGGCTTCGTGACAGTTGATTGGTTTGATCATGTCAAAATACATAACAAAACAACTACAATTTTGAGGCCTTTTCGCACATGTAAAGAAAGCTGCAGCTAGGTAGTTCTTCCTCTCCGCATATCACTTTTTTAAATGTCTAATGTAGATTGTAGTGTCACACACGCAGAAAATGGTCAACTAATCTCTTCTCTTCGGGTGCTTTTTCCTCCTCTTTAAGCACATTGTTTTGGCGCTTTGAGCACCAGGAAAAGCGCTATATAATAATAATAATAATATGTATTATTAATATTATTATAATGGCACATCACCACGTGGTAGACAGACTAAACGGCTAGCAAAAAAGATGAATATTAAGCATCTACAGACCAAAATAGAGATAAGCAAACACTTCAAATGCTCTATGTCTGCTTGGTTTTTGACTTATTAGCCAACATGTTAGTCAGGCTTGTTTCTGAATTCCTATGCCCCATAGTGGCCTAAATACTAAGTCTTTAACTGGTGGCATTATTACCTTATTAGCGTAATAGCTTACCGGTATATGGAGTAGCTATGGGTCATTTCCATGCATTGCTTATCCTGGCCAAATAATTGCAATTAACAATGAAATCCTGATTATCAACTCTGGCACTTAAATGGTAAACATACTGGAATCCATTTACTTAACTTTTTTGCCAAGTACAAAATATGGACATACAAACCAATCTAGACTTATTTCCACCCTGATGCAGGCGAGTGACAAATCAGCTTGACCCCCTGCTCATGCTCAAAGTGTGTGTAGAAAAACTATTCTGCACATTATTGAAACATTCACAAAATAAATACATTATCATAATGTTAAAGGAATTGTTGCTAATAAATCTAATCTACTGATGGAGTAGCCTAAAATGTAAACCCTCTAAACAGTACATTTATTCTTGTCAGCTCCTTGGCTTTAATGTGACTATTTTTACAAACAATAAGTCCTTCTGTATTCCCCCCTCTTCTTTATTTGGACACTGAATCAAATTCCTCCCACTTGGAAAAGCTGGAAGGAGTCTTTGGCTGTGTTGTCTTCATAGCTCAGGTTTCACCCCGCTCCAAAAACCCCTGGTGTCTCATTCTTTCCCTCTCCTCTTCCTGTAAGCTGCTGGTTTTCTGCAGAATCGCTGGCTCTCTATATTAAAGGACGAAAGGGAAATCTGAACCAAGATCAGCTTAGAGTGATAATCCTCACCCTGTGGCGTCACAGGATAAAATGTCAAAACTGGTTGCAGATCAGATGACATGCCACGTTTCAAGGGTCCACAATAAGTGCTGTTGTTGTGATTTAGAGACTGGTGGAAAAGCTGTGTGTTTAATTGATTTGCTACATGTTGATGAGGAACATTTACAGTGAGTTATACTGAAGCATTCATGACGTACTGTAGTTAAGAGCTTTAAAGCAGGTGCATCAACATTGTGATTTCCCCAGCAGAAGTCCTTTCTGGATATGCTTTCATATAAAAAAAACAAATGTAAAAACATAGTGTACTTCAAATTAAACTCTTCTGTTCTTTGATTTCAGTTTCCCTCAGGCCACCAACCAGACCCTGTTGGATAAGTTCAAGCGGCAGCATGAGGGGAACAGCTACATCGAGTTCCCTGCTGTCATGGAGCCCGCCTTCATTATACGACATTATGCCGGCATGGTCAAGTACGGGGTCAAGGTCAGTGTCACCCACACTTCCTAATAGAGTCATTGATTAGACAGGAAGAAATTGGAAAGCGCCCCCAAAACTTTTTCTCAAACACATCGTCATTATTATTTTATAAACTGATCATTTGTTTTGTTTTGTTTTTCATACCATTTTAATATTATTGATATGCGTAACAGACTATAATAGCGCGACCCAGATTGTATTCAGTCTGCTTGCTTTCATAAGGAACGCTATTTTTCTAGGCTTACCTGACTGTTTTTCTGCTCTATTGAAGTACTGGTCAAACACATACATATCCTTCTCTGTACGTATGTGGATTAATACAAATGAGATATCCAAAGACTTTATATATACACAGTTACAGTTATGCTTAGGGTTTTTGTGTACAGATACCAATCAGTATTAGAGAATCAAAGAGTTCTTACATTTTTAAGTTTTAAATCAGAGAAAATGACATATATCTGAATTTATGATGCTTTTCGAATATTGAATAGCCAGATGAATTATTGGATCATCTTTAAATGTAACGATTTGTCCAGTCAAAGGTTATAGCCAAATATCACCAATAACACATTTGTTTCAGGGGGCGTGAGCAACTGCTATGGCTGAAGCTAATGTAGATCCACAAAACTAGACCAATAATACCGGGGTTTTTTTTTCTCTGCCACACACACAGGATTTCAGGGAGAAGAACACAGACCACATGCGTCCAGACATCGTGGCTTTACTGAAGAGCAGCAAGAACGCCTTCATCTGCGGGCTGATGGGCATCGACCCCTCTGCCACTTTCCGCTGGGCGGTACTCCGAGCCTACTTCAGGGCCCTGGTGGCTTTCAGAGAGGCCGGGAAGAGACACACGCAGAAAAAGCCTGGTGAGCTCCCTGACTCCCTGACTCCCTCCATACATGAGATAAAAAATCTCATCTGAGCTTCAAACGTCAAAGGAATGTTATATATATATCTCTATCTGTCATCAACAAATGTCTTTAACATTTTGAATTCGATTTTTTTTTGTTGCATTTTTCAGCAATCTTTATTAGAATAAATGATGAAAATATATGCTCACTTTGTCAAAGCAGCACTAAAGAATCGACGAAAAGGGAAACGACATTGACTTTAGTGAATGGCATGTGATCATCTATGACTTTTTAGTACAACAAGAACAACGGTGAACTATCAAACTACTAAAAGAGAATAATGGTTATAGGATTATTTACCATCTCTTGCTACAAGCACATTTTATCCAATAAACAGCATGAAATGACAGTACTGATTATTTTTTAGTTTTCAGAAGCACAGTACTCTCTACTCACATGCCATGCAGACTTGGTTTAGTCCTCTCCCTTTAACTATAGTTAGCTTTACCTCAGCAATATTTGATGTTTCGGTAGTCACTGTTCTGTAATGTGTGTGCATAGTGCTGCCATGTATTTCTTTCTCTTTGTCCCTCTGAGCTTCGGCCTATGAATGCCTTCTTTTCCCTTGGATAAACGTGCCATGCTCTAGATATTACCATTAGATTTTCTTTTAGCACTGCCGTCTAAAGAATCAGACTTTGCACCCTCTTGATCCTTTCCTTAAGTATTACTGTACATGTAGATGTTGTTATGTGAAAATACTGTAGAAGTCTTGTATCCTTTGCTCATCCTTAGCTCATCCTTAGCTATCTTTTAGAAATCCTTTTAACAGTCACTCAAGGTAACCCGTTACATGTCTTCTGAAACATTTCTGCAAATAAAATTAGTTTTGAAGTCTTTTTATGTAAATGTAAATAAGAATGGGCTAGTCCTCACTGCCTAAAAGGACTAAATTGTAGTATCAGAAAAAACTTCTAGAAGACATTGTAAGGGAGTGCCTTTGGGGGACGAACCTACTCACAGAACTACAATGACAAACTTCTAATGCTGCAGCCAACTGCAGTTGTGAATGTCCATCATCTCCTCTCCAGAAGTCTTGCACAGGTATCTCTCCAGTAGACGACTGCATCTCTTTTTCTTCGCTGTCTAACCTGTCATCTCTCTCTTTCTTCCCCCCCCTTTCTCTTTCCTTGTGTATTTTTTCTCTTGTTTTTCTTTTGTTTTGCTTCTCCAAGGGCATGATGACGCTGCTCCCTGTGCAGTTTTGAAAAGTGTGGATAGTTTTAGCTTTCTGCAGCACCCTGTGCATCAGAGAAGCTTAGAGATCCTGCAGAGATGCAAAGAGGAGAAGCACAGTAAGGCTGCCAATACAATAAAAACTCCTTCTTACTTTTTAATGTTGGACCATAACCTGGGAAACTGTAGGGACGAGGCTGACCAACATCATCGACTTTACTGCACCGTACTTGAGCAAAAGTCAAGAAAAAAGAGCTCAAAATAATATTAAAACTTTAAACACAGGTCTTATTTTCTGCTTTGTGATTTGATTTGCAACTCTTATTTTCTTTAATTAGACTAGATGCTTGTTGGCCTCCGCTCCCTCTGTTTCCCTCTTCCCCCTCTCTCACTGTATGCACCTGCATGCATTTGTTCTTAGTCTTGTCTTGCATGTTGTTCTTGTTTAGCATGCTTCAACCGATCTGTCTCTTACACTGTGCTAGTAAAAGGCTAGCAGAGAAATGCATGGGTTGTATTGCTCAGTTAACTTTGGTGTGGGGAAACAACACAGTAACACCTGTAGGTGTCCATCACTCTCTGTTTTGTCACACGGCTACATTCTCATGTCCTGTCCGGTATGTAGGGGGGGCAGTGGGTGAAGTTGCTTGTCCACCACAGCACACATCTGAAATCAACAGGCTTCACCTCTCACTAATACCACGTTCACTGGTGGTGGTGGTGGTGGTAGAAAGACTAAGGGGTTTAAAACACTCATTTTCTCACAGGTAGCTTTACATGTGGTGCAGGACACACACTTCTCTCACAGATCGCTTTTCCTGCACAAACATTTCATTACACCCACATGTGTTTGTGTGTTCTTGTTTTGGGCCACCCTGCAGCTCCTGATGAAAGTGAAAATGTTGTACAAAGTGATGAAACTGAAAACGGTATAATGTTCACACACCAGAGAACATATTTATTTTAGGTAGTTTAACATACACAGTAGATATCTGTGTTATCTCTTCACTATGATTGATTGCTTAGGCGTATCACCACCAAAACAAAGCCACAAAAAGCTTTTAAAAACCCATTTGGCTCACAATTTTACCTTTTTAAATTCTCTTTAGTTCAACTGAAATGTCACCTGCCTGCTTTACATCATTAGATAGCTGACTACTTAACAACATGTGTGTTCAATATTTGTATTTTTAAATAACTTAAGTGTAACTTAAACAAACAATCCAGACCCAACTAGCTTCCATAATTTAAGCATTTTACTATCTTTTAATATGAAATCATCTGCAGTAGATTATAATTTTTATAAAAAGGCACATAACACTCACTGGAATATCACTGGAGTGTCACAAAGTGGTTATTTACATGGGAAGGGTTCAAGTGTCTTTATGTCTGTTGTGTTTGCGTGTAAGTGTGTGTTTGTGTGTAAGTCTTTGTTTGTGTGTGAGTGTGTGTTTTTGTGCTTTTTCACAAAATGCCAACCCGTTTGTCCGTGATCAGGTGTGACCAGAAAGAGTCCTCGAACCCCACTATCAGACCTTCAAGGAAGCAACACCATCAATGAGAACTCACCACGGTAAGATTCTGTTCTGATTTTTTGTAATTTTGTGTTTTATGAACCAGATTAGGAGAAATTAGGGGAGAAAGGTTCCCAGTTGAACTCAAACCAGTGACGTTATGGTTCATATTTTCCCAGTCCTCACCCCCTTGGCCTCAAGTGGTTCTTATAAGCATAATAAAGTATATGAAACCCTTTGATTCCCTTCAGCTGCACTAGCCTTCTTTATATATAAGTATATTGGGCATTGAGACACACATGGCATGCCTTGAAAAAAAAAGGAGTGATAACTGTGCTGTGACCCGAGCATTTCTCTCACACCTCCCCACTGGTAGACCACCTCCTCTAATTAGCTGTGGACAGTGGGATTAGCAGCCCGCGACAGCGCACCAGTGGTGGCACAGAGCGGCTGGTACAGACAGCCTTTGTTACACAGGAGCTCAGTCTGGGGCGGTTAACCCCCCCACCTCCTTAATTTGATTTGCAACCTTTCCCCCCCCCTCTGCATGTCTCTTTCTCACACTCGCACACCCATCCTCTAGATAGGAGAGTACTAAACCCTCTGCAGCTGCTTCCTCAGTGATGTAAAGTCAGAGCTATGCATCTGAGAGGAGAGCCCAGAGAGCGATAAATATGAAGTCCCTGCAGAGTACTTGTCTGCTGGACAGACAGCGGACAGTGTAATGCTTTATGGGACTCTTAAGAGAGACTATGGAGATAAACACTCACTACAAGAAGCATATTGTAGCATTACCGTTTACTGAGACCGAGGATCAACTGGGGAGTAATTCTAACTAATTGTCTTTATATGGTAGCCCAGATGGAAACTGAGGATGTGTCATTATTCATTAGCTAACATCGTGACGTCAAACATTATTTTATGATGTGGTCATTCACAACAAACCCTTAAATAGTTGCAGAAGACCATATAAAGATGGAGTATAAATCCAGAAACCAATATAAATCCAACAACTTTTATTTACACTTACATACTTGAGCTTTGTGGATCTTCCGCTGTAGTATTTGAAATGTAATGCAGGCTAGTAGTATAAATAATATACATCTTTAAGACTCCTCTGGGACTCTTGGAAGAATTACCCCAGACTGTGATGAGTACAGTGGAGAAGTGTACAGCCTCCATAGAGAGAAAACTAATGAAGAAGCCAGTCACACGTTTGTGCTGTGTTTTTATGTCTCCACAGACATGAATGTAAACTGCAATTTGACTGGTTGGTGCACAACTGCAAGGTGGTCCTTTTAGTTACACCTGGTTTCTATTTGCAGCATGTCTACATTATGTATTTCAAATTCAAAACACAAAATATTTGGCCAAAGCATTATGCTTCTTGTGCACAGAAGAAGTTTGAAACATGAGCACAACAATCTGTGGTTTTTTTCAACAGCAACACTGAAGAGGAACAAGCATAATCTATGTTTTTTAAAAGCATATTTTCATAATTCAGCTGTGTAAAATGGTTTCCAAATCAAACTGCTGCCCCTGCACTAAAAAGCTGTGGGTCTGTTTTTGTAGAGACTTTCAGTTTCATTAGCCATTAAGAACCTTCCCACTGGCTCGTGTGCCACCTTGTTTTCTCTGTGGGAATGATTCAACCCCCTGCTAATAACAGAGTAGAAGTTAACACATCTCGCTACTGTTGTCTATGTGTCATAGTTTGCGGCTTGCAACTCATCAGGAGGCATTCTTGTACAATCTTTATTATAATACTGGAATCAAAAGTGCTTCAGTGGAGCTGAATTAATGATAGGTTGCTGCTGCCACAACTACACTGGGAATTATGTCAATAATGGTGGATATTGTTGGTACCTCAGTTGCCTTTTCTGCTCCGTCCACTCCTGTGGGCTAAAAAAGCTTAGACTGGTTAATGGTTTTAACCATGATCTGACCGCACATGTTTTTGTTTGCCTTATGGGAGGGTGGTTAGGTTTCACCTTGAAACCTTGCTGAGGTTTAAACCCTTTGAGGCTTCAGTAAACTGAGTTGAATCACTTGTGAGATGAAATACACAGAAGTTACTGCCCCTGCTGGGGAGATTTGTTCCTGGGAAAAATATTTCCCTCACGGAGACAAAAGACAAGACACTGTTGATGCTTTTTTAAATATGTCATAATACAGGTGAGAAATATATATATATATAGAGTACTAACTGTTTAGTTTACTTTAAGGTATAAAGGTTGAAAATAATTCAGAAAAAACTAAAATATTTTGTAATAAAAGTGTCCCAAACCATATTTGTATTATCTTTGCATCTATCAAATCATACCTATCAAGAGTTTGCTTCAAAGGTGTCTTGTAAAAGTGACTATACATAATGTATTAAGTCAATTTTCATAAATGAATCACTTGAATTGATCTGTGTGTTATTGTTTTGTCTACAGGAGTTCTCCGGGCCTTGGCTGGAACGGGCGTGTGGGTCGACTCCGATGCCTTTCCTCCAGCAGCTCCACCACAGAAGAAGACGGCATCTTTGTCAACTCTGCCAGTAGCAAACTCCTTGAGAGAGCCCACGACATCCTCATGTCAGTAACTTCTTTCTGAATAAGACAGTACTTCATGTCGTTTTTTGTACTTTCTTTGTGATTGTAATATGCTAAAGAATTGTAGCATCACAGGGCTCAACATTATAAATGGCCCGCTGGCCTGGAAACACTATTTAGACACCCCGGGCCAGCATAACGTACTTTCCACTTGCCCGCTCGGGCCACTAAAAATATTGCTTTAAAAAAAATATTGTCCTGTGGTATTGGTATTTTGACAAGCATTTTGTTAAATTGTTTCGTTTATTAATGCTACAACATAGCGTTTCGTGAGGCGGTTGTCGTTGTTGGTTGAAAAGCAAACAGCTGTTTGCTGCAGAGCGCAGCGCGAGCAGGCTCCCGTGTGGGAGCGCGCTCCTTCACTACAGACTTTCTCGCCACCTAACCATTTGCCAAAATGTTTTTAATACCAGCGGTAACCGGCCAAGCGCCGGGCAAAAAACAATCTTCAAATAAAAGAATGTCACCAGATGAGTTAAAGGAGAGTGACTGGGAGTATGAGAAGAAGAGGGAGAGAAAGTTTCAGCCACACTGGCTTGATCGATGGAGTTGGCTTCAAAATGATGCCACTATAAACAAGGTCTTTTGTCGGCTCTGTACATCAATGCCGACCTATGCTGACAAGTAAGTGAAGAGTAGAAAATATAAAGGTATATTGGCTATAGGGAAAAATGTCCCAGCAGTTTAGGATAATGAAGGTTCTAATCTAATCTATTACATAGCCATTACATGTCTAACTCCGAATGACAGGAAGGCAGAAAGCGCATTATACAAATAATAATACTCATAATAATGATAATAGCAGACATTTTTTAACAATGACCACAATATAATTATTTTAATAAACCAAATATGAACAATTGAGGAAAATTAGGAAGAACTGATGATTCAAATGTTGTAGTACAAGTAGTAATGTAGTTTGTGCATAAATTACTATTGCAACAAATGTGTTCATTTTCTTCATTATTAGTCGATTATTTTGGACGAATGCTCTTGGCCCTCAATTTTACCCTTAATGTCTACCCCTGCATCAGTGTTTCTACTGGTATGTACTGGTTATGATGATCAGCAGTTTGGCCTCGACACATACCTTAAAAAACAGAAAGACTTGAGTTCAAACTCAGTGTCAGAAAACATCTGTCCTGCCTCGTGTCCTTTAGTCATCTACATTCCTACCAGCTCCGAGGTTGCTGCTCTGCAGCTGACCCTGACCTCTGATCTCCCTCCGGAGGGGAGCAAGTGCGCGCAGATTTCCCCACAGGGATGAATAAAGTTTCACTATTGACAGGAATATGACCCACTTGGGAGGAATGTCTGGTGCTTTTACTTGACAGTTAAAACATATTCCCTTCTCACCTGTTGAAGAACACAAAGAGGCAAATGGTTGCTCTAATACTCAAAATAGATTTGACTCTTGAACTAACTTTTCTTTTCCTTGTTTTTTACTGAAAGGAGGAACAAAAACTACAAATCCAAGCCAGTTCTTCCCAAGGTAGAGTCCAGATCATTTGTTATAGATTCTAACAAAGTAATTCATGATCAACATGTTTAACTGACTATTCGTCACATCTGCAGCATTTACTGAACGTCAGGTCACTGAAGTACCTGAGCAACCTGACGCTTCACGACCGCATCACCAAGTCGCTGCTGCACCTCCACAAGAAGAAGAAACCACCCAGTATCAGCGCTCAGTTCCAGGTCAGACACGCACACGCACACGCGCACACACACACACCCAGTAGCACACTGCAATGCTCAATGATTCGCCATTCAGTGCTCTCACCATAAAAATAACACGATTAGCCTGAGCTGCAGAGAGGATAAAAGCTGTGACTATGATAAAAACAAAGTGTGTCCTGTTACAACTGGCTGTGGCTGAAAACATCCCTCCAATTCTCTGGCATCCCCCCCCCCCCCGCGCCCTTCGCTGTCCCCTGTCTTATCCCTGTATTTGTGAATAATGTGTGTGAAGTCTATTGCCTCGTTTTCACACACATACACACAAGTCTAATATGTATGACTTCATGTCTGGGAATTTAAGACAAAAAGCTAAATAAATGTCTCATGAAAAATACTTGGGGAGGATTTATGAGGGAGTAACCACACTCTTTTGAAATGTGTTTCATTAGTGTTAAATTAATAGGAGTTGAGGATCAAGAAAACAAGAATGAACTAATTCCTACCATTTGAAACTGTTAAATGTAGGTGCTCTACTCTTTGTTTTTGCATTTCACAGCACAGGTTTTTCTTTTTTCATACACTCAAAAGTGAGATTAATGACACTGACAACTACTGTTAACATACAGAATAACTCGGTTGTCTTTAGGTCAAAAATATCTCTTGTATGCAGTTTGTAATACAAACCAGCTTAGAATAACACTCAACAACTGAAAACGGTTTATTTGTATCCTGATTTCTTTGAACATGAACTCTGTGCTCTGGCTGTTGGAGGTACAGTAGAGAGGAGTGCTGAGGCCCCAGTGTGTGGATGACTTCACTTCCCACATCCTGTGCTGCCCTGATTGCTTTAATCTCCCATGGAGGAGGAGGTGGAGGAAGAGGAGGAGACTGAATTCCTCCTGCCCCTGAATTATCACACACATGTGCATTTGTTTACACACATGCACATGGAAATACTACACATATGTTTCTTTCTTTTCCCTGTCAAAGACTTCAATCTTGCAGAAAAGGGTTTCACTCACCAGCAGTTATTCACAGCTGACAGATCCACATGACTTTGGCTTCTTCCTGTCAAACAGCTGTGGATCAACACAAGCAATCCGCCTCTGCATGTGCCTTTTATGTTCTGGCTTTGTTTAAAATCGGACTTGTTTTGTGTCTCTGTCTGCAGGCCTCCCTCAACAAGCTCATGGAGACTCTGGGTCAGTCTGAGCCTTATTTTGTCAAGTGCATCCGTTCCAATGCTGAGAAGGTACAGTGTGCTCACTCCAGACTGAAGCAGCTTGGTTTAGTTTTCAAAGCATTTTTCATTTCCTTTTTGAAGTCTGAACTTCTTGAAAGCTGTTTATCATTTCCCCCTCTGCTCCTCTGTAACCTCTGCCGCCTGACACTTTTCCTTTTCTGTCATTTTCCCTTTCCTCTCCTCGATAACCTTTTTTTTCCTTTTCCTCAGCTGCCCTTGAGGTTTAATGATAACCTGGTGCTTAGGCAGCTGCGATACACAGGTATGCTGGAGACTGTGCGCATCCGCCAGTCGGGCTACAACATCAAGTACAGCTTCAAGGTAACACACACAGACATGCACACCATGTGGATACTCTTTAAATATCACAGTCTATATTTTGGAACTGTCACTTATATCATTTTAAATTAAGTAATGTACTTTTGACTATGAAACATTTATTTGAAAGCCTGATTCACAATATACATTTGCAGATTAAGATATTGCAAATGGTTTATTAATATTGTGCTTTGTTAAATATAACTTCCCAACACAGAATCCAAAGTAGTTAAAAGACCACCTTGCTCTTAATCAGCTAATACATATATATATAATAAAAGATAATAAATACGTTTATTATGAGAAAAAAGAAAGACAAAGAAATGTGTAACAGAAGTAAGAAAAAAAAAAGGCAGCTTTTTGTTCCCTTAATATCCAAATGTACACCGCTGCAGTTGCAAGGCAGCTTTTTGTTAAAAAAAAAGGTTTCTCCGAGCCCAGCATTAAAAAAAAAAATCAGAAATGACAGAGCTCCTCCAGAGTCACAGAAGACATCATCTAAAAGGTTACACTGGCTGAGTATACTAAACATGACCTTTACGTGTTATGCAACATTATGCAATTCCCCTTTACATGGTTTTAGTTTCCTGAGAGATACAACAGACCCTCTTCATTCTTTATCTAGCAATTCAAAGGATCATATCATTGAGGAAGCGAGACTCGATAAGCCAAATGGTAAAAGGAGTTCAGCAGCAGATTACATTCACGTGTCCCCTCGGTCGGTGCAGGCGTGTGCAAGCCACAACACTGATGCACTATCTCACTGCTCTCGCCCAAAATATAAAAACGACACTCAGGTTTCCTCAAGTTTTGGTGCCAGGGATGAATTCATCTCCGGGAAACATGTCACTGATGTTGTTTGAGCCACAGATTATTGTGTTTTATGTTGAGAGGAAATGATTTGCGACATGAGGTGGCAGAGATCTTAACCAGGCTAACTCTCATAAGAATGATGTCAACCCTGTGAGGAATACTGTATGACTTATAAAGCAGATCATGTTTTAAAGCTGATTGGAAGTGAGTGTTTGGACAGTACATTTTAGGGAGTGGCTCACTCCCACTCTAGTTTTCTCTTACGTTAGTTTCCATGTTGTGGCTTTGAATTTTCAATTGTGCCAATCCTGTGACGTCAAGATTTTTAGGGACTGGGTTAGTTTATTAAGAAGTCCCTTTAATAAATCAAAGCTTATTTCTTCCACGTAAAACTGAAATCATTTAAAATTGTTCACTTCAGAGTCATTTTAACAACCTTGATTCCATCCAAAAAACTGTGCTAGTTACTCAAGGTGATACAAGGTCTGTGAACTATTTTTGATCTTTACTACATTTCTGTGCAAATAATTAAACCTTTATCTTCAAAACATTATCTGATTATTTACAATCAAGAGTTAACAGAAAACCGTGTCATCTTATAAAATGTAACGCATTATTTGAAATTAAATCAGTGCTTTCCAACCTTTTTGACGTGTTTAAAAGTGTCTAGTTGCGGTGTCTTGTCCTGAGTTTTAAGCAATTCAAACAAAGAGACATTTGTCTTTTAAACTTTTCAGATGGTTTTATTGGAATATCTGTTCAATAGCCAAGGTAACATATACATATAAGGTAACATTTTACAATAAGATTTAAATCTAAAATGTTATATGGAGATGTGTGAACCAGAACGTTGTTTTCTTTGCTTTTTCCTTCCCCATTGATCATCTCCTCACCCCTAGGATTTATCATTTGACCTTTCTGAAGGGGTCAGAATCCTAAATTGGGAAACACTTTACTGAAATAGCAAGCTAGTAGAAACTAACAGCACCTTGACAAGCTACAGTAGTAAAACATTGCTTATAACTTACATGAGAGCCCATCAGTCACAAGCCATTTAGAGTGTTTTCAATTACATAATAATATGATATTATACATTAAATGTTTGCATTGTTGTACTTTTTCAACCACTGGAAAAATCGGCCCACTTAAATTCCAAACTAATAAAAAATGGATACAATATTAATTATTTCTGAAGACTTCACTTTTTGGTGAGCTCACTATGATGATTTAGGTATCAGACATCTTCATTTATTAGAAATTCCCCCCAAACATATTTAGTGCTGCGGTCAGCACTAATGAGAAATATCTTGGGCATAGCATCACTTCGGCGGACTCTGCTGTTTCCCCACTCTTCAGGACAGAGGCTCTCCATTGTCCTCAGGTCTCTGAAACACACCCCATGATTGTAATTCTATAAACACAGCATCTGTTTCCCTAACCACCCCCTGCAGCCCTGAGTGTATTGAATTCAGACAATGGACCTCAGTCTGAAGAGTAGGCGTTCAGCATATTTACGCCATGATGTTTGAACCCCTGCAAATATGGACAGCATGGACTTTTACCTGAAACCACATGTGCCTTAAAAGCTTTTTTTATTTTGCTCGAAGATGCTGCAGGAGGCCGCTTCAGTTTCTGCCGGGGTGGTCAACTCTTTTATTTCAAATTGTTTTACCCCAACCAACAACTAATCCTGTACTGGAATCAGTTTTAGAAAAACAGATATTTTTGCAGATTATTAACTTTATTTTTGTTAGTTTGTTGAAATCATTTGCACATATCCTAAACATAACATTCAGAACAGAAATACTGTAGGGTAATGACCACATTTCTTACTAACACATGTTCTTGTTTTGTTGGTAGGATTTTGTCCATCACTTCTGTGTGCTGCTCCCAGAGGGCACCAGTGCCACCAGAGAGGGAATCCAGCAGAGCCTGGACCAGCAGGACCTAGAACCAGATGGCTACCAAGTGGGAAAGACAATGGTATTTACTTACTTCTTTTCCTTTTTTGCACTTCTCTAAAAAAATTCAAACATACTACTGCCCTACTGTGAAAAAACACCTTAAATGTGTTTGTCATTATAAATGATTTTACACAGTGTAGCTATGTTTTGCTCTCAGAAGTTAAGTTTATATTTCACACAGTGGGTGTTTCTCAATCGCGAGTAAAGCAGCTCCAGAGCCACTATTTCAAGCATACTACGTCATCGACTGCCGCCGAAGTACTGTTCCAATGTCCAGCATACTTGGAAATCTACCGAGCCCGGCGTACTCCGTTTGGAGAAATTTCAAGGCTGCACATGAGTAGACTCCGCGGTCTTAAAATCCCCACAATGCTTTGCGCACGGACCAATTTCCCCAAATCTGTGGCGGAAAATGTAAGGCGGGGCCTCTCATATGACGCACACCTGCACACTTGCTAGCCTGTTCCACTCTTTGTTTTCCAAATGCCAGGAAGTATTCTTGACTCGCTTCTGAAGCAAGATGCTCGGAAGACATGTGCTACCAAGCAAGCGTACTCGCGATTGAGAAACACCCAGTATGAGTTTGGAACAAGCTAATCTGAAAACATCAGACCAATGGTACTGAAAGAAATGTTTTAGTTCTTCTACATCCGCAGGAAATAAACAGATAACTCAGGGTCCGGTTCAATCATTTAAATAATATATAGTCCACGAGTAAAATTGAACAGTAGAGCAAAACAGTGGTTTAGAGCAGTGGTTCTCAACTGGTCAGGCCTCGGGACCCACTTTTTCCTTTGTCAATACATCGCGACCCGAAATTTGAACCACTCAAATCTATTCAACAAAAAATCGTGCTATAATATATACGCTTTTCAGCATACAATATTAATTAAAGTGAAGTACAGTGCATATATCCCTTATATCCCTTCACAGAACTAAAGTATGCTTTTAAAAAAGGTTTAATGAGATGATGGAATCAAAGCTGAACTGTATAACATAAAAAGGCACACATGCTGAAAACCCAACCCCAGAGGGGGGGTCTGCGGGGATTCTCCCCCAGGAGAATCCCCGCAGAGGTCGCGACCCACCAGTTGAGAACCACTGGTTTAGCGGTTATGTCATTGTTTGGTGACATTGGAGAAATAAATGTGTAGGCTCATTATACTGCATGTTGTTATGTGTTTTATGAAATGTTTTATTGCATGTTGAGGCAGTGAGGAATTTGAAAAATTCTGCTTGAATACCCAGAATTACTCAAAAATAATGTGGGGGTTCAATTCCATACACTTTAAATAGTCATAGACAAAGGGAATGGTCAGAGTTGGGGACAACGTCATTACTGAAGGCCTCTTCCCTCTGGAAAAAGGATGTAATGAAGACAGTGTCCCATATTTGGTATGGTATAGGTCCAAAGTATGAATGAGTCATGATGGAGGGGTCCATGCCTCTGAAATGCTGTTTATATAATTAGCGGATCATACCTGACATACTTGTGACTCTTTGTCAAGCCAGGGATGTCTGTGGTTTGTGTGGTTTTAAAGAGTTTGTGAGTATATTTCTTTGTGCGTAACCAGACAACCCCGTTCTTCATTAAATGTGTCACCCATAGACTGAGTGTATAAAGGTATCACCCTGTGTTGACTGCGTGCTGGTCCCTCCCCTCAGGTGTTTCTGCGGGAGGCTGAGCGTCAGCAGCTGCAGGCCCTGCTCCACACTGAAGTTCTCAGACGCATCGTCACGCTGCAGCGGAGATTCAGAGCCCGGCTGGAGAGGAAGCAGTTTGTCAGAATGAGAGCAGCAGCGATCTGCATCCAGGTACAGTTCATCATCACCACTCTACATCAAATCCATTTGAATCTTGCTTTGTTATTTAAATGACTTCTTATTGTTTTTTGGTTTTCTTTCCTGAAAGTGTTTTTTTTTTTTTTATATATATATATATATTATCCTGATCAACTTTCAGTGGAATTAAAATAAAATAAAAATGACATTTTATCACAGTTTTGCAAAACTATATTGTACAAATTAAGAATCCAAGCTTACTGTATATAAATTGAGCACTAACAATTAAATTGTTTATTCATGATTCTTGTTTTGATGAGATTAAAACATATTGTTGGATCTAATCTAAAACTAAGAGACGTTTCATTTGTGTAAAAGTCAGATCTGAATAAAGTTGAAATCAAGGGAAAAAAGGACATTTATATATTTTCAGTAAATATGTTATATTTCTATGCATTCTGATTTAACTTAAAAAGACATCCTAGTATCAATAAAATAATAATAAATCATTGCCATCATCCCTTTACAGAAATGGTGGCATCTGTACCGGCCTATAGAAGAAGAAGAGGAGGAGGAGGAGGATTATGACCCTAGCGTCCAGGAGGGGGCAGCTCTGTGTCTGCAGACGAACTGGCGAGGTTACAGGGAGCGTCAGAGGTTCAGGCTGTGGAGGGAGGCAGCTGTGGTGCTGCAGAGGGCCTGGAGGTTATGGCTGTCCCGGCGCTGCACCGCCGCCCTGGGGATCCAGACGGCCTGGCGCTGTCATCAGGCCAGAGACGCCTATCTGCGTCTGTACGCAGCTGTGGAGCAGCTCCAGGCGCTTAGCAGAGGCTTCCTCGCCAGGCAGAGGTAAACAACACCATAAAATAACCACAACTTATCCAGAGAGGGAAATAACTTGGAAAGTAAAATAACTTAGAGAGTAAATTAACTTCTCCAGAGAGTAGGACCAGTTATTTTCTTTAATACAAAAGTGAGTTATAGTCTACAGGTATATATGACCCGCGTTAGTAAAATAAGACACCTATATGCATGCATGTTGGATGTATTTTTCCACTTTTCTGCAAAACACTTTTAATGGGAGCAAAATAACCCATACTCACAATATTTATACTTGATAACATTTTCCTCATGGTTGTCTCGAATATGCAAACGTTTAAAACAAATGTATTTTCTTTAACTCTGAAAATAGCTTCTTAGGGTAGGTGACTGCATGATTTCCGCCCAAGCTTGTGAAAAGCCAGATAATCTTTGCACACAGCTCCTGCAGTGTGTTTGGTCATTGTTCAATGCGCTTATAGATCAGGCTTCGTAAGAGCATGCCATTACGCAAGCAACCTCAAAGCAGCTCTACAATCAGCTGAGCTGCTGAGGCAATATCAGACCCTGAGTTTGTAGGTACAGTAGTAATAATTTGTTAACAATACGTTAATTGTGTAGAATAAAGTAGTTTGTAGTTCGTAGAAGTACATTGGCATTAGCTAGACTTGTAACCATTCCTTCTTGATTCACAGCTTCAGAAAACTGAGAGAGGAGAGGCTGAGGGAGAAGAAGGAGCAGCAGGAGAAGCTGCTTCAACTACAGAATGGCCAGGTGAGTCCCTCACAAGAGGAAGAGGAGGACTCCCCTGAGAGGATCATGGGTTTGGACCTCAGCACGTGGGAGGATCGCTCCTACGAGCAGCGAGAAAGGAGCCTGCAGGTCCTCAACAGCCATGAGGGTGCAGTGAAAGAGGAAGAAGGACGAGAACATTCTGGGACCAGCGGGAGTCCCTCTAAAGTGCAAACTGAAGCACCGGACTCGATGCAGACCTCGACTGTGGTGGTGCGAGAGAGGTCCAGAACTATAGACGAGCCCAGCCAGAAAACCACTCGGGCCAAGAGGGAGAGCCGGCGGATGAGAGAGTTGGAGCAGGCCAAGTTCAGCCTGGAGCTCCTGAAGGTCCGGGCGACCAGCGGGGGGGGCTCGTCCCCCTCGGAGGAGCGACGCTGGTCCCTGGAACTGGTGCCTCCTGCGACCCCGCCTCTTCGCTCCCCGCAAGGCACGCCCGACAGCCAGAGCTCCAAAGGCAGCTTCGAGCTTCTCAGCATGGAGGACGAGCCACCCAAGGCTGTAGAAGAGATCACAGACAGCGAGGACCTCTGCTCCCCTGTTCTCCCAGTAGCTCCTGTACCTGAATTTAATATGGATATTGTTTCATCAAGCCGAATGCCAGTTGAACCCCACAGGACTGAGGTTTCTGATGCTGTTGTGCATCCAGGAAGCAAGACCAAAATTGATCTACCTGCCCCCTCTGCTCCCACACATCCGCCCAAACTCGAGAACTACCTCCCTACCTTTTACGTCCCTGCTAGTGAGGGCAGCACAGTCGTGTCCCGTCGTCCTGCTGAAGAGCCCAAACCAAAAACAGAGGTTGTCTCCACCACCACTGTTACCAGGCCTTTTAAAGAGAGGCGGGAGTCATCGCGTCGACCAGTGGTGGTGGTTATCAGCATGCAGAAAGAAACCCCGATAAGCCAAGAGCTGAGCGATATTGTCCGTCCCTTTGTGGAGGTTCGAGATTCTGCAGCCCAGACGGGGGAGAAATCAGACCCCACCCCTGTCCCTCGAGCTGACCAGGCCATCATAGAGAAGCTAGTGCGACTGAACGAGGAGAAGGAGGTGAGGCAGCGGAATCAGCGGCAGCAGAATGAGAAGGAGATGATGGAGCAGATCAGACAGCAGAAAGAAGCTCTGGAGCAGCAGCGTATTTTCTTCGCTCAGTATGAGAGAGACATGTTTGAGAAACAGAAAGGAGAAGCTCTGCATAAGATCCAGCAGAGTCGACAGGGCGGAGCAGATGTTGGTGGAGGTGCGACCTCAGTGAAGCCCATTAGACCCAGCTCCCTGCTGATCGAGAAGACAGCAGGGTTAGCTCCTAATGTCAGAACACGCTCAGTCTCCACCGCCCCATCAGTGCCCTCTCACCCGGTTGTAAACCTGCAGAACATTGCCCCTCGCCCTCAGCTGCCCCCTCCACCTGCCTCTGTTTCCAGAGATAAACGCAGGGAGAACAGGCCTGTTGCTGAAGGGTGGGCACCTAAACTCACCCTGGAGTCTAAAGATGGAGGAGGAGGAACCAGAGCGAAGACTACAGTCAAGAAGCCTCCAATCAATCAAGGCGCTAAAGTTAATATGACGGACAAACCGAACATCTTCTTCTCTCCAAAGGACAAAGTGACCTTTACAAGGTGAGTCATGAAGTAAAGCATTGCACTTTCCTTGCTTGCACTTGGGATGTTTTTTCGGCTATCTAGTTATTTTCCAATCAAAATTCAAGATATTACACAAATGGTAAATGCCTTGGTATTTTGTTGCAAAATAAACAAAGTAAGAACAAAATTAATTAAGAACATTGGTAACTTGAAATAAATAGTTTTAGAATAATACCAATGAGTTGCTAAGACGAAGACCCAAAGAAAAAGAAAACACACAAGCATGGCTAAAATAACCTTAAACAAGCAATCAACGGATGCATAAATAATATAGATAATACATTAACACTCAAGGGGTTTATAAAACAAGTTTAACAAAACAGATTACTCCAAAAAACAGTTTACAAGACTAAACGTTTATAACAGTAAGTGAAGAATTTAGACAAACGCACTGACGCAGGGACACTGAGATATAGGAGCTGAAAATAACCCATAGATGTCACAAACCATCACTGTGATGACATTTCCCTTTACATTCTTTGAACGTACTTTAAGTTCATTTACGTTGTTAATAACATCCTCTTTTTGTCCGCCAGGTTTGACCGTGATACTGTCTCTAAAGTAACACCTGCAGTGATTCCCGGAGAAGGACCCTCACCAGTCCCCAAGCCCTCCAAAGGAGCAAAAGTGCGAGATGTAAGCAACCTCTCTTGTTTACTCTGTAGAAAACAAACAAATAACATGTGTTTGCAGGAGTGTCTTTTGTGTTGTGAATGAATTAATGAAGCTCTTAATCCGACACTAAAATGGACACAGGTGACCCTTTATGAAGAACTAAATGCACTGAAGCTCTTCTGCAGGTTATTGAAGACCCCTTTTAAACATGCTGTTATCACTCCTGATAAAACTCCAGGTTGGCAGAGCAGGCCAAAAAAAGAAAGTCCGAATGGCACGGACCCGCTCCGACTTCCTCACCCGCGTCCCCATCGTCTCAGTTGGGGACGATTCAGACGAGGATGACTATAACGGCGACACCCCCCGTCATCACTCTCTTCCCCTCTCCAATCAGAGCTCCCCGGAGGCGGGCTTAAGAGAGCCCTGTTTCAGTGACTCAGACATGGTAACAGGCGCACAACAAGCCCAGCAGTGACGCTGTATGCGTCCTTAAAGCTGACTTCTCTTTAACTTTTCTAACCCCAATATAAAGCTGTACTAACTGGTTCTATTTCTAAAACTAACCTTTACCATAAGAGTGAAGACATTTCAAATGTATTTCAAAACTATTTCAAAGACATTTTGAAATAGTTTCGTAATAAAACATAAAGACTTTGAAAAATGCGAGAAAATACAAAAATAAATGTCGGTTTTTAAAGACATTTAGTCGAGGAGGTCAAGCAAACAAAAATCCAATCGTTTCTTGGTTTGACAACCCCTCCAGAACTCATTAACAACACTGTTTGATTACATTTTAAATGAATTTGAATCCATTTGAAGTGTTTTCTCGTAAAAACGAACCCTTTAAACTTTTTTTCTTCTCTAACGTGATGTGGCTTCTCTTTCTCTCACAGCTGTAACACTGACTTTTCCCCTTGATTTATTCTTTCCGTTTAATCAATAATGTTTGCATGCCACTTGGTTATATTTCCTCTGTTAACAAGTAGCATCCGTCATAGGTCAGACCTTGGGAATCCTTGGAATAAGGCATCATTCACTCTTGACTTTCTTCGTCACCTAACAAACTCTTCTTTTGTCTTTTAACAGCTCTTCTGCTGAGAAAAAATGATTTGTTCCTGTGTCATAGGTTTAATTCATATGTTTACATATATTTCAAATGTAGTATGTGTTGTGTTATTGATTTGCATTTTCTTGATTACTATAAAAAGCATTTGCTTCAAATGCTACTAAAAAAGAGATCTGGTAAATGTTGAGTCTAGCTGGTGAGGCAGTGATGTGATGCTGCCATCTACTGGCTAAGACTGCTGCTTACATTGTAATATACACATGAGCTGTGTGTACATCCACAAAAAAAGAGGCTTTGCTTCAGTTTTGGTTCTACTTTGCCTCATTATCTAACCTGCTGTTGTTCCAGCCTGCCAGCTCTGAGGAGCAGAAGAAGACACAAAAAGCCATGTCGTCAGGAGATCTGGGCAAAGTGGACTCCCTGCGCAAAAACTCACAAGATGGAAGGTTTGTTCTTAAACAAAGCATTGACAGCATCCACAGTTTTGTGTCTTGAACTTAATGTAAATTGATAAGGATGTTTTCTTCCATATGTGAGTAAAAGGTGTTTATATTATAATCTCAATTTGGAACAGGGTTCGTAGGATGCGCTTCTGGGGCAAGACAAAGTATGGGGAAAAGAAGACTTCCAGAGAAAAGCTGATCTGTGGTGGTGACTCTTTGGATGGAGACTATGGAGACACTGGGCCATTGCTGGGAGAGGGTGCGTTATTCAAAAGCAACTGCATATATTGCACATTGTCTTCTTTTATCCTGTCTTTATACATTTGAACTTCACCTGAAGGTTATTCTGACTCATAAATCCTCTTCCACACAGCAGGTCAGGAGAACATGTCGCCGCCCTGCAGTCCTGATATGATGTTAGATCGAGGGTTCAGAGACTTGAAGGAGAACAAGGAGCCGTCTCCCAAGGTGAAGCGGCGGCGCAGCGTTAAGATCAGCAGCGTGACTTTGGAATCGACTCAGTGGCAGAACGACGCACTGCAGATCCTCACCTGCACCAACGACTACAGGAGCATGAACGACTTCCTCAGGAAGAAGGTACAGACAAACACGCTCTGATGATTATATGATCTGCATGTGTACTTCAACATCTAAAATAAAAGAGTTACAGGCAGTCTATATTCATGCTGAGATGATGTTGTTATATTATAGATCAACGACTTGGATACGGAGGACAGTAAGAAGGACACCATGGTGGATGTTGTGTTTAAAAAGGCTTTGAAGGAATTCCGTTTGAATATCTTCAACTCTTACTCCACGGCTCTTGCAGTAAGTGTTGTCAACGCTTTAAACGTTATCTACATATCACTCTTGCATAAAAAAATAGGTAGCTTAAAAAAAAAATTAATTTGTACTACTCTGCTACTCAAGTAGATCAATTCTGTGCGCTTCCCCTGAACCTGTTGTCTTCCTCCCCAGATGGACGATAATAAGAGCATCCGCTACAAAGACCTCTACGCTCTGTTTGAGCAGATCTTGGAGAAGACCATGCGACAGGAGCAGAGGGACTGGAGAGAGTCTCCTGTCACAGTGTGGGTCAACACCTTTAAAGTGTTCCTGGATGAGTTCATGACTGAGTACAAGCCTCTGGACAGCATAGTCAGCAGGGTAAAGACATGCAAATGCCTCCAGGAAAATAATATCTAGCTGATGTTTGAACTACTAAAATACATTTCAAACTCGATTTTATTTTCACTTTGGGTTTTTCTGTTTCTGTTTTATTTGTACTACAGCAGGTACCTAAACCTGAGCGTAAAAAGACGAGGAAGAAGGACACGGATATTGTAAGTCTAACTTCATTCTCATCAAATCTAAGTAAAAGAAAAATGGCACATTTGTACTTTACTGTATGTAAAGGGACATGTGCAAGTGAACTCCAAATGAACGTGTGCTGCTCTCTGCAGGTGGAGGAGCATAACGGACACATCTTCAAGTCCACCCAGTACAGCATCCCCACATACTGTGAATACTGCTCATCACTCATCTGGATGATGGACCGTGCCTGTGTGTGCAAATGTAAGTATGCATGCAAAATACACCTTATCTTACCGGTAATATAGGACTCCATGAGAATCCCTTAATATCATACAGTAGTTCTAATTAAAAACGGGAAGGGTTATGTAACATATTTTAACTGGTGTCAATAGATGACTAGGTAGAGGTACATTTTCTCTATTAAATGTTGCCAAAGTAATAATTGCTATTTTTTCTTGACAGAAAACTAAGTCATTCAATTATTTATCATTTCTGAGGAAAAATTCCCGATATTCTCTGTTCCAAGATTTCTAAATGTGAAGGTTTATTATGCTACATTTGCATATATTTAGCTATTAGTGTTACCTAAGCTCTTGAAACTCTTGATCGCTGTTGTTTTTACACTTTGCTGAAAGTCTAATGTTAATATAATCAGCAGATTTTACAAAAATTGCAACCTTAAAATATATATGATATTGAATTTGCAATATGTATTTATGTTTGCGCTCATTCTTGAAATGAACATGAGTAAAACAAATTTCTGACTTTCTCCTAAAAATATATTTTGAAAAAGTTTTTGTCTTTGAATTCTATCAAACAAGCTCTTGGTGGGGGCCAAGTAATTGATGTCACGCATCGAATCACTCACAGACTCACTCACTCATACAGCCACATTATTCTGACTTATATAACTTTTCATGCCAAATCTTATAATCTTTTTCATCAATCTCTACCACACGCACGCACGCACGCACGCACGCACACACACACACACACACACACACACACACACACACACACACACACACACACACACACACACACACACACACCAGTCTGGCCTCTGAGAGCTAGCCCCACCCACCCTCTCTCTCTCTCTCTCTCCTCGGCCATAATCAGATTGTTTTCAACTGGACTCATGGGGTCTGCGGCGCCGTCTCTCCAGAGATTTCCCCACACAGTTTGTCCTTTATTCCCACAGGATGTTTTTCTCACGCCAGCAAATGCTGCTTTGGTCTCTCAAGCGATAACGTTTTTTTTTCTTTTATCCAAACTACTTTTGCTGAATTATGAGGAGGCACTGCCTTTCTGTGGATAATGGTAATGACCTGTTTGATTTCTCTGGTTGTGTTCATCCAGTGTGCCGGTACGCCTGCCACAGAAAGTGCTGCCAGAAGACGACCAACAAATGCAGCAAGAAGGTGAGTCGGCCATATTGCGCTCCCGCAAAACAATGTCCCATGACACTAATTGTTTTAATCCTGGTTTATGAACAGTAGATAGTGTTATTTCTGAAATCAAATAATCTTGCAATGACGAAAGAGACAAAAAAGACAAAAGCAATTTTTTTTAGATATTACCCTTTATTTGGTTCCTTTTCAAATATAAATATGTGTGGTTGTCTGCGTGTGTCTACATAGCATGTCTATGTGTTTAACAGATGATGTTGTGTTTGTGTCTGTTAACAGTTTGATCCAGAGCTTTCCTCCAGACAGTTCGGAGTAGAGGTGTCTCGTCTGACTAATGACGAGAGAACGGTGCCCCTGGTAGTGGAGAAGCTTATCAACTACATCGAGATGCATGGCCTCTACACTGAAGGAATATACAGAAAATCTGGCTCCACCAACAAAATCAGGGAACTCAAGCAGGGACTCGACACAGGTGAGAACGTTTGGCTGGCCATTAGAGGGGAGCTCAACTGTTTAACTAATATATATCACCATGACACTTTCCCAACAGATTACTTACATTAATGCAATTATTTTATTGTGATTAAAGTTTTTGAAATTGTTATTCTTAAATATACAGAAAATGTGATGTTATTTAATATGCATTTGCACAAATTGCATCAGTATCAATACAAATAAAAAAACCTGAATTAAAACAATTATAATGTCAAGTTAAAACACTGTTGGATAAAACCAGGATAACAAATATGTTTACATTCTATTAACGTACAGTATTAGAACAAAAGATTTTGGGAATTTTGGATAACAGCCGTTTAAAATAATTATAAAAAATCTATTTTAGCCATGTTTTTTTATAACAAATGTTCTATATATTAGGCTATAATAATAATAATAATACATGGGATTTTTATAGCGCTTTTCCTAATGCTCAAAGACGCTTTACATAAAATAAAATGTATGGTTGATATATGGCTAAATATATCTGCCAAAATAAACCAAAATCAAAAAATTGACTAGCCTTTACTGTTTTGCCTTAAAGCTGAGAAACATGAGATGGATAGGAACAAATGTCATTACTAACTACTGATAAAGTGTTGGTTTGTTTTTTCTTCATTCTCCTTGTGACCACGCAGATGTAGACAGCATGAATCTGGACGAGTACAACATCCACGTCATCGCTAGTGTTTTCAAGCAGTGGCTGAGAGACCTGCCTAATCCTCTGATGACATTTGAGCTGTATGATGAGTTCATACGGACCATGGGTAAGTGATCGACGTCCAACTCCATTGTGTTTTGAAAGCCACCACACTGGAGATTCTGTCACAATTACAATGTATGATTGTGAACAGCAGAAGATATATTTGTTTGCTGTAAAGGTTAATCATGATTTGTCTTGTGCCTCCAAAGTTTTGCAAGATAAAAAGGAATTGATCCGAGGAGTGTATTCAGTTATTGACCTGCTAAGCAGAACTCATCTAAACACTCTGGAACGCCTCATATTTCATCTCGTCAGGTAAAAAACTGGTCTTATAGTAGGATTCATGCATTAAACTGCTTTATTTCCTCCCTGATGGCCTGTTATAATACTAAATTCATGCTTTTAGGGTCTCTTTACAAGAGGACACAAATCGGATGTCTGCTAACGCCTTGGCTATAGTTTTTGCTCCCTGCATCCTGCGCTGTCCTGACACCATCGATCCCATGCAGAGTGTCCAGGACATCGGCAAGACGACAGCGTAAGGATAAACCATCATGTCTATCAAATACCTTCCCTCGAATGGACCGAGACAGTAATTTACAAAGTTTGAAGCAGCAGTGGATCATAAATGAATGCGTGTCATGTGGGAGCAATTACCAAAATCTATTCAAGTCTATCAAGATCCAATTTAGCAAGATTTATTCAGATGGCAGAAGTGCAATTTTGACAGATAATTGACGAATGATGATGCTCGACAAACAAACGCTTTGAGACCAAAGTTAACTGAAGTGATTACCATTTTTCAGCATAACTGACATCATGATAATATTATTTAAACAAAATGGTTTTTAAATTGGATTGTGTTGCTGCTCATTTCCTCGATAATGGTTGAGGAAAGTCATGGGATTTCCTTTTTGTTTCCAACAATTTGAGAACTGCTGACCTGAGGCAAAATACAAGGCCTGTAGAGAGGCTATTGCTTCTCAATTACTTTAACACAACTACAGTTTTCCGTTCTTCTGAAGTGGTTTTCTTTCCCTCCATAGGTGTGTCGAACTTATCATTTGTGAACAGATGAATAAGTACAGAGTTCGACTAAAGGACATCAACAGCCTGGAGTTTGCAGAGAATAAGGCCAAGTGCAGGCTGACCCACATTCGCCGATCGATGGTAAGATCGGATAATATGACAAATATTACTAATCAAACTTTTATAAGATTCGCAGTTACTCATGGCTATATCTCACTGACTGAACCATCCTAAACTCTCCTTCAGTGCTGTACATTTCCTGATCTCCTCCTTTTGTAAGATTTGTTTCTCTTCTCCTGATCCTCCTCCCTTAACGTGTCCTTTCCTTTACCCAGAAACCCGTACTAATAGCTGTTAGATTTATGAGCATAATGCGCACTATGGTATGTATACAGTACCATCCCCAAGTCATCATCCAGTGGTGATGTTGTTGTGGTGCCAATCACTGCATAGTCTCATGGCTTGAAATATTAACATCTTAACATCTTAATGTCTTCTCCATCCCTTAAGCATGACTCATTATGTCTCTGCTTCTGTATTTTCTAGCATTGTCTTGTGGAATGAAGTCAGCAGATAATGCAATCATATAATCACTTCTTATTAGATTTACATCGGATTATGGAACACATAAATCAAACATTTTTCTACATAATGTATGACTTGAAATAATGTATGTAAATACTGCATAAAGAGCTTATATAGATCTCTTTCTTTTTCATAACAAATCTAGAATGATAAATTGGATAGACAGAAATGTCAAAATGAAATGTCATAGTTCATTTCCTGTGCAAGTACTTAATAATAGTTATATTGTGAGTATTAGCTTCACTTCAAAGAACCGAGAAGGATTCCTTCTGACAAATCCTGATCATCTGACCTTTAGCTGGCAGCAAATCAGACCTTGATACTGCACATTGAAACCAGAATAACAATGACCTTTCAGAACCTCGCATTACTGATTCTTCTTTCTTTTGCTTTTCACATTTCTGAGCAGACAATTGCAGCTAAAAAGGTAAAGTTTGTGTATCACTGTGCTGCATCTACCTTGTTGTTTGCTCATCTTCTAGTGCTGCTCTGCTGATTATTTCATTTGGTTTAGTCATTGCCTGTGCTTGTGAGTAGCTGCGTGCTAAAAGTTGTGTAATGTGCTGTGTATGACTGCATAACTGTTATCATTCATTTCTTTCTGAACCACAAATGTAATATTCACATTAGTAAGAAGACATCTGCCCTTGTTTTGTTTCTCAGGGAAAAGGCCATGTACAGCGAATAAGCTACCACACACCCTCGCCTCCAGTTAGTCCGCGGCTGCCATCTGTGGTGGACCCTGTGATAGAGGAGAGTGGCTGTGAAGAGGGAGAGGACTCTTTAACCGAAATCTCCGAGCATCAGCAGGCAGCCATGCAGCAGGAAGAGAGAGTGTTGACGGAGCAAATTGAAAGCCTGCAGAAAGAGAAGTAAACACAGCAACTGCACTTAAAATGTTCTGAAAATGTTGTAACTCCGGATAATGAGACCCTGTGAAGAGTCTGTCACAATAATAAAAACGTTAAATATTTGAATTCAGTCAAATAAAATGTTAAATATGCATGTGTTAGAACTATTATGTATTTCACGATGTGTGTTCAGCTAATTTGTTAATCTGGATATATTTTCCTCTGCAGAGAGGAGTTGACTTTTGAGATGCTGTCTCTGGAGCCACGAGCCTCAGATGATGAGACCCTGGAGTCGGAGGCTTCTATTGGTACAGCCGACAGCTCGGAAAACCTCAATGTGGACTCTGAGGGAACCTTCTCGGATTTCTCTGGTATGGCACTATGCACAAAATCAAAATTCATTTTTCAGTTTACTATTTGTATGCTTCCGTGCATGCAACAGCAATGGCCAAATCTAAAAATCAATCATTTTATTTGAAATTGGCACCAACATCTGCTTGGACTCAAGAATGAAATGATTCGATTTTGGTGGACTATGGTAAAGGTCACCTTGGCCTGATTAAACACATATTTGGCCATAACTAAAGAATGAATACCCTAAAAATTATGAAAATGTCATACAAATAGGATGAAATGATGACCAGATCAGACATGGACGTAAACTGCAACTTGACTGGTCGGCTGAGGCATACAACTGTAAAGCCGTAATTCTAGTTTTTATGTGCAACTGGAGAAAAAATATTTTTCACATAAACGTTGTCTTTGCATTTCATTGCAGAGAAAGGTCCAGTATTGACTTCCCCCTGGCCTCGGAGGTCTGACATGACGAGCCCCCGCCGGCGTGCTCTCCGCAGGCAGCCAGAGTCCCTGGACTCTGTTGACTCCAGTGTTTCCTCCTACTCTTCCTCATCACATTACCAACCATCGTCCTCGTCCTCTTCTGCCACCAGCCGGCGCTTTCGTTTCCACTCCAAGTCTCCCTCTGCAGGCTCAGGGCCAGCACAGGCTCAGGCTCTGAATACATCTCAAGCCTCTCGATCCGACTGCTTAGACATCAACCCTACAGGAGATCAGGAAGGACATAGCGAAAGGCCCCAGTTTACCAGCCGAGGCACATTCAACCCAGAGAGGGGCAAACAGAAACTTAGAGGGGCCAAGCCTTCTTCCCTGAGGCACTCCAGAGGAGGTGGTGGCCATAGCAGGGACCCTCCAGACATACCACAGCAGCTTGTGTTGTATGGCAGTAATGAATTCATGGTATGAAGGTCACTGCGACACCAAAGCACTCCCTTTCCAACTCCCTGGCAAGCGTGTACATTCTCAGTGGGAGGTAACGTAATGGCAACTGATTTCCAATCTTCAAAGCACTCTTGCTTCGCTTTTCCTGAAGTCCGCGATGAAGTGTCCTCAAGGGCCGTGTACAGTGTTTCCATGTTTGAACTGCCACCCATGCTCTCACAGTGCCTTGGCAGCTCTTTACTCGGCGCCAAGAGGAGATGCACTGAGAAGAAGGACAGAGAAAAGGGAACGTTGAATATGCAGGAGACCACTCAGCATCAGGGAATGTTACCGAGCCTGGAAAACGGAAGATAAATGAGAAGAAATGAGAAGAAATCCGGCAACATCAGGCGTCACAGATGTTACAGTGAACTTAAAGCTCACAATAATTAGCTGCTTTATGAGTTTACAGTTCATAACAATCAGTGTAAGCAGCAGTTGCTCTGTTACTAGAAATTCATTTTTCCTTATTTAATACATGTTAATGTCACAGAAATTCTTTATAGCATATAATATACAGGTAAAAATACTGTACAAAGCCGGAACACCAGCCTCTGCTGGGTAGTTGAAGTTAAATATTTATCTTTTTATTTTAAAAATGGTTTTGAGTATCTTGGAAAGAGATGTACGGATTTGGGCAGAGGATGATTTGTGTGTGTGTGTGTTCGCGTGTGTGTGTGTGCGGCAGAGCAAGAAAGCATGATTGTATGTATGTGTGTGAAAGAGAAAAACCACTTCATGTGTTTTGAGTTTGTGCTGCTTTTTTCCCCCTTACAAGGGAAATACCGCCATCAAAGGGACCAATCAGCTGGTGCGTATTCCAGCCAAAGGGGATCCCAGCTCTGTAAAGAATGTCGGATGTGTATAAAATCCCTGCATTCACTGCTTAACAGCCATACAACAATTGTAATTGTACAGTACAGTTCATATGTACAGTATAGTGGACAAATGCCATTCTATTCTTGAAACCTATTGTTTCCCCATCCACTCCCAAACCCATCCCCAACCTGTCTCTAAAGTGTTTGCTCAATAGCAACCAAGAAAAAACATAAAATCAGTATGTCTCTTGTCTTTATTATTGAGAATGTTTATGTTTTCTATTCTGTCTATTTGCACTTTGCAGAACTGTAGATGACGTATTTAAAAACACGGCAGACGTTATGTAGGTGAAGCTACATTCCATTATGAGGTCAATGGAATGTAGCCACAATTGATTATATTATTGATACCTGTGCTTTTCCTACTGTGACATATTAAAACATATTCCGTAACAAGAGACACCAAAATACCTAAAAGAGGTCATGTAATATTCATTTTCAGGTTCATACTTTTGTTTTGTGTTTCCGCTACAGTAGCACATTTAAATGCTTTAATGTTCAAATATCACTTTATTTTTCCACTGTCTGACTTTTGGAATATTCCCCCTCTGTCTAAAACCCTCCGCTTTAACAACTGTCTATTTAAGCACCCCTCCCAAAAAAAGGCTAGTTTGCTCCACCCAAATGTGCTGTATGTGCACAAGCACTGAAGAAGTGAGTTTTTCATGATATATTCCCTTCAACGTATCAAGGTAGTGCCACAGCTTTGGGAGGAGTTTACTTGTTTGTTACAATGATACAAAAACAATGTCGTACAATTATTAATATGATATAATTACACATTTTATTTGTATAGCACACTTTTAAAACAACGTCATCTCAAGGTGCTTCACAAGTCGGTGAGAAAAAGTTATCTAAGAAACATGTTAAAGGTATAGGTGTGGGGACAGACAGGGATGTCTGCAAGTTGCATTGTTTAAGTGATACCATGTATGCTTTCATGGAAGAAATATCAAAGTATTTGTCTTTATAGATGAAAAACTAAGTTTATAGATATATTAAAATATAAAACACCTGTGTTTTGAATAAGTAAACACAATAATAGGTTGACATGGAATGTTCTGTATTTCAGTCTCATTGCACCTCTAACTGCACAGTTGAGTTCTTAAGGGGCATATTATAGTTGTTTTTGGTCAATGAAAAAGTAAATAACACCTACATGTAGTCTTCATCCTGGCAATACAGTATACCCTTTCAGTGCTCCTGTCCAGAGTATTTTAACTGTTCAATTTAGAAAAGCAGCAGTTAGTCCGGATCATATATTGTTAATTTTAACGTCTCAAAAATGACTATCCATGGTTTAGGGCCTAGTTTTCCCTTGGGTGTAACCAGAAATTGGCTTTGCAATTAAAAACCTATATTAAACTGCTCCTGGGAAACAGCTATTGAAACTCTGCATACCTCATGTGTGGTCTTAGGATTGCAGATTTAGTTTTCATTCACATTCTGCAAAGCCCATGTGTTTCATTGCCTTCAGATATAAAAGCAATACAGTACATATAAATAAAAGCTATAAGGAGGCATTTTCAACAGGTAAAAGGTCAAACGACATGAAGTGTAAGTCCAACAGGTGATGTTTAAATCCTCCAACGTTAATGATGGTGAAGGTTATTGTTTTAGTTTTACTTATACTTTGAAAAAATAGTACATTTGATTTTGTGAGAGCAAAACCAAGCCAAATGTACTCTCTGTGCAGCAGTTTTAAGTTGATTGCATCCATGAGTACTGTTATGACACTTATGATATGTTTGTCATTTGTGATGTAAACATGTATTTACAGACAAACAAGGATAACAGTAGTAGAATGCAACTTTGAACATTAACTCAAGCACCACACTTAAAATGTTGAGGTATTTGTAGTTTAATTAAGTCTTTAATTTATATTGTACTTTTACTACATTTATTTTAAAGTTTTAGTTTATCGCATACTAGGAGCAGTAATATATGAAAAAAAGTATTTTTTATAAAATATCATTATAGACTGAGAAACCCAGAAATACAGTAATTAAAATTACCTTCACCAGCTGATGATTAAAATGCAGGAATGTATCATCTGATTCTGAAATGGGCCATTCTGTATAATAGGTTGTTGGTACTATATATGTATATGTGGTACTTTTGCTTGTAACAGAATATTTCAACCCTTGTATTGCTACTTTTTTTAAATATCTGAGTAGCCTACTTCTTCCACACCTTGAAGTCAACCACTGGACATAAACCTTGAAAGGGTTGCAAACAATTCAAATAATAACTTAAATACATTTGCGTCAAGATAAATAAAACAACCTATAATTGGGCATGCCTTTAATATGGTATCCCTATTTTTCTGTAGGTGATCCTTTACTGCGACAGTACCTAAATGCAACAGTATGGCCCTAAACACAAAATCCGGTTTTAAAAATACCTCTTTTTGTATAGTGACCACAAATCTAATTTCTAGACACACGTGAGTGGCCTGAATTCATACTGTCCCGAAAACCGCATAATTGAAAGCAATTGCCATCATTTCTAAAGGTAAAGGTAGTTTAATGAATCAGACTACTCGGGGACAGCCTCCTGGTGACGTCAGCCACGCATGCGCAGACACGCAGCGTCACAGCACCATCCGCAGGAGCAGCAGCCGCCGCCGGGGACACGGGAGCTGTCGTGTTGTTTATTCCACACAATATAAACTTTTATCCACAATGTCGGGATTTGACAGCAACCCTTTCGTGGACCCAATGGATATTGAGCCCTTCCAGGTGAGTGTGTGTGTTTGTTTTTTCTGTGTGAACTCTTTAAGAAGCTGTTTTCGTGTGAAGTGGAGACTGAAAGAGATATGCTGCAACACAAACCTGTTTGGTTGGTTGCTGGGTTTGGCCTCAGTATTTCCTGAGTAAGAATGTTAGGTATTAAGTAGGCCACGTTGTATATTTAATATCATCTATTTATAAAGTGTATCTGTAAAATAGTGTGGTAACGCTGTACGTGGGCTGCTAGCTCACCTGCGCAAGTAAGCAGAGACATACAGGAGCAGGTGCCTGCTGATGTTTAGTCATCAACTGTGACTCCTTCACTACGCCATTGAAGGAAAAATGTTAATTTTGTAAACCTGATCCTCAAGGGGAAATGTGGAATGTAATGGCGCACCTTTTAGGCTTATAGCAATATTATTTGGTGTGGCATTTGTTTAGTATAATTACCACATCTCTGTGTTTTAGATGTTAAAATGATATTACCCAATGGTTGTAGGTTAACAAGTGACTTAGTGACATGTTTACTTAAAGAAAAAGCACCTTTTATTGTTCAAATAGTTACATTTGAACTAAGACAGATGGGCTCCTGCCTTGGGCTTATAGTACATTTGGTTTGGGACAAATAAATGCTCTTTAACTGGTTGATATTCTGTGGATTACTGCCTACTCCAAACATGGCAGGTACCAAATATAAAGTGAAGGGTCATGGCTTCTCAGCATCTCATAACATCAAGTTTTGCCCTTTTTTTCAGGATGCCTCAATCACACAAGTCACCAGCGGATCCTCTGAAAACACTGGGGAGTTCAACCCATTCTCTGCAACTGACATGGTTAGCTCCTCTTCCAATTTTTTATTACGCTGTTGATGTCATTTATAGTTGTTTCATCAATGAAAGAAAATTAAGTTAATAAAAAAAACATATTTGTTTCAAAGGGAACCCACACTGGTACAACCATCCCCATCTCAGCTCCCTCCTCTCAACCCGCCATCCTACCGACTTCTGTGGAGCAGAGCGCACAAGTGAGTCAGACACAAACACATTAACAGATAGAGCTGGTGTCAGCTATTTAGGAATTTCATTTGAGATTTACATAACCAAAGTGCATCCAATGTTCCAAACAATAGATTAGGGGAATAATAAAACACAAAGCTTTAAGTTAACAAGTGATTTTTGTCAGCAGTAAGTAGAGCAAACCAATTCTCTTTTTTTAGGCTGATATTGATATAACATTAAACACATATTATAAATTAAATGGTGGATAAAGCATTCAGATCTTTCACTAGATTAAAGTAGAAATAAGAAAGCCTTAACTAAAAGTACAGAAGTATTATAAGAATAATCTACCTAAAACATTTCAAAAGTAAACGTACCAGTTATTCAGAATGGCTAATTTCTCAGTCTTACATGGCTGAAGTGGGTAGCCTGTAGTTGAGCTCATACATTTTGCATCACTAGATAGAAAAGTCCTGCAGTTGGTTGTAGTGATGCAGTAACTATATTTGTCAAGATTCAAAGGTCATATGCACATACAGTACGCTACAGTGTAGAAATGGCGATGAAAATCGTATGACCCAAGCTCCTCCACTTGCTAGCAGTGTTAAGAGTAGCTCTTCCTTCACCCACCAGGCTAATGCAGTAGCTGGCCAGGCTAACCTGATCAAACAGCAGGAGGAGCTGGAGAAGAAAGCTGCAGAGCTGGAGAGGAAGGAGCAGGAGATACAGAACAGGGCTGCAGGCAGAGGGCTCAACACTGGCTGTAAGTATTTATTTAAGAAGTTGCAAGCTAACTTAGCTGTTGTACACACAAACTATAACACACCACAAGCGCTCACCGTGTTTAACCACTTGTTGTTTTTTTCCATCTGTCAGCTAAAGAAAACAACTGGCCACCGCTTCCCAGTTTTTCCCCTGTAAAGCCGTGCTTCTATCAGGACTTTGAGGAGGACATCCCTGAAGAGTACCGCAGGATCTGCAAGAGAATGTACTACCTCTGGATGTGTACGTGCCCCTGCATGCACTATTCATCTTTACAACTGTTATCTTTCAATATAAAAGAGTCATTGATCCATAACACAGTGTGATTCTGAGAGTTTGGTGTGTTAACAAGTCTCTCTTGTTTGAAAACGTAGGTGATTTATTCATTTCATTTACAATGAAGCATATTTTTCTAGTTTTCTATAAAGTATGGATCAATAACAGGCCATCTGATAATCCTGACATTTTGTAGAATTGCATGAAGTCTTTAATGTCACAATTATATCGATCATAGACATACTGTTGATGGTTTTCGGGACTTTTTCATTATATGATGACATTTGAACAAAAATGTATTCTCATTTTGAACTGGAGCATCTGTATATAAATGCAGCCTTCTAATGTCTGTCAGACATTGTTGACAAAGGAAATACTGACAAAATTACCTCACACCTATTCATTCCTCTA